GTACATTTTCAGCTCAAGTGAATCTGCGCTTTGCTTCATGCAGTCTGCTTGCAGCTCAAGTGAATCTGTGCTTTGTTGCATCAGTTGAAGCTGTTCTTCCAGAGAATCTGCACTTTCTTCCATTTTGTGCATTGGCCTCTGAAGAGAATCTGAATTTTCTTCCATGATATCTTGTGGTGTGTCCATGGTAGCTGTCAGTAGTGTTTTCTTATCCAGGTCCTTAGCACAAGTGCCATCTTCTTTCACATCATCATCACCTGCTCCAGCACCAACATCCTCAATTTCAGAAATTTCATCACTCAGAGATGTAGTTTCTTGGTTGCCAGATGCTGTGGGATCAACCAAGCTACTCTCTGTATCAGGTCCACAGATTTCCTCAATTGGAAGACTGTCAAGTGCCTCATCATGAGATCTTCCTGCAGCTTCAAATTGTTCCACTTTGGTTTGAGCTTGCTTGATGAGTTCATCAATTTGAAACATCCTCTCTTCATAATCATCATCAGATTCCACTCCTTTGGCAGCCTGTTCTGAAAGTGTGTCACAGCTTTCAGACTCAGATATTTGTGATTCATGCCCTTCTTCAATCTCAGAGAGCATGTTCTCCTCTTCCTTTGCCTTCTGCTCAAATGTTTCAACCTCCCTGCATTGCTTCTCAAGCCTTTCAAATTCTGTCAATGAGGAACCAGATCCAACCGAGATGTCATCTCCCTGTCCGCTGCGGCTTGCAATCACCCTGCCGTCATTCAAAGAGTCCTGAGACCCATTTGAAGTAAGACATGACCTTCCTTGGACTTCTGTTTCCAATCTTTCAAACTCCTGAAGTGATCCTGATGAACTATTGTCCACATCACTGCTACGTCCAAAGAACCTGCGACCAGCAAGGACATCAAATTCAGGAGTGCTACTAAGAGATTCCTTCAATCGCTCAAGGTCTCTCCTTTCAAGATCTTCTTCTTCAATGTCTTCCAGAGGAGGAGGTTGACTCACATACTCATCATAATATCGTTCCCTTTCAGATGCTGCCTCAAACTGTATTTCCATCCATCGCTGTCTCTCTTCCAGGCCATCCAAGGATTCTGCTTCGCTGAGAGACACATCATCAGGGCTCTGTAGCTTTTCAAAAGAAGTGTCATATGGAAAGTTTGCTTCTGATAGGTGACATGGTACAGTGTGAGACTCCATGCCAACTGTTTTTGTTGTGATGTTACATGTTGGGGGCTTTGGAGAGGATGGTGATTCAGGTGCCACCATCTCAAAACCTTCCTCAGACATCTCTTCTTGAGATAAATGGACAAAACCATCTTCATCTTCTCCATTACCTTGATGAGGACGTGTGAGGGTGATATCAGGTACTTTTTCGCTCTCACCAGAGATCAAAGGAGGAACTGGACTAGTTTGATGGAAAATATCATCAGAAATGCAATGCTCAAGGCCTGAGCTCCTTGCACCCAAGCTGTCCTCTGGTACTTCAGAAATATCTCCCAATGACATGTTTGAATGAGGAGGTTCAGGGCTCTGAGGTCTTTCAAAGATTTCTGGCATTGCCAAGGCATCAATACTAGAAATTCTGGCTAATTCTGCAAGTTCAGGCTCATTGTAGTCCTCTGATGACTGGAATTCAGGACAGAAATGTCTCAGATTTGAGGAAGGCCTGCTTCCTGGGAGACTCATGATGCCTGATGCTGAAGCACCTTCATTGTGTACAGGGGAGGAGCTCTCCAGTGACTTTGCAGAACGTGCTATGAGGAGTTGCTTTCTTACGTTCTTCACTTGGGAATCATCGAATGCCCTCAAGGGCTCACCCACCAAGGACTCAACCATGCTCCTGTGTTCTTCTACTGCATTACTGTCCTTGTGTGGATGATCCGAGCCTTTTGGCCCTTGGGGCTCATGCACTAAAAAATGATCCCCATTTTGAGAATCATCCTGAGCTGAGGATTCTTGTTCTGAGGATTCACTTCGATCCTGACCAGGGGACATGTCCAACTGGGTGATCACTTGAGTGGCAACTGAGTGACCAGGGGCACTTGAGTCAGGAACAGTTGCCATGGTTAGAGTGACAGACTGAGACTCAGCCCCAAGCACATGAGGTGGAGTGCTTGTTCCTTTGCTTTCCATCATCCTTCCTTCTTCTGTGCTAGATGAGCTGATGCTCTTCTGCACAACAGTCAAAACTGAACTATCGGTCAAACTGCTCTGCACACTTCCAAAGTCGGCACTTGTTTCCTGTGATTCCTGTTGCTCCATATCTGGAGGTTTCTCTGGTTCTTCTATGTCAAGACTTTCAGCAACAAGAGGTTTTGGTTCTGGATAGAAGGTCATTTCCATGGAACGCTTCATGCCTGTGCTCTCCCCAGCATGCACTTCCCAATCCTGTTCTTCCTCTTCTTCAGAGCTTCCAGCTTCTTCCAACACTGGAGGAGCAATGCAAGGAGTAATGACCAACTCCCCATCGTCTTCCTCATCTTCAATTGGAATTGGTTCTGCTTCTGTGAAGACAAGTGATGGAACTATGCCATGATCCCCCATTCCATTTGATGACAGCTCTGCACCCTTATCTCCCTCTCCATCCACTGATGATATGGCACCCTCCTGATCTCCAGCTGCTCCATTAACTGATGGCACCGGGGTAGATGTGGATGAAGATGATAAGCAGGGGATTGAGCTGGAGGGTTCAGCCACCATTGATGAATCATCCTGTGATTTCCCAGGGATCACTGTTGCATTAGTGCATTGCTCATGATAGCTACCCATTAATGATGACTGCTCTTCCATAGTAGGAGTAGCCACCTCTCTCTCCTGGTCCCACTCAATAGCAGATGGAACAAGAGTTTCTGATGTTTCACTTGAGAGCTCTACACTTGCCATGTTTCCTGAGCTTTCTGAGTCTATTGACCGCATAGATTCCCGAGAGCTCATGGAGCTGGCTGCAGTGAAGTAGTCTTGTGAAGTGGCCCCAGATCTCTGGTCAAGAGGAGTCATGGTTGCAGCTGTTTCATACTCTGATGATCCTTCTGCAGTTGCTGTAAACATGGCTTCTACATCAGACGAAGTTGGACGGCTGGCTGGCTTGCTGCTGTCAGACGTCATTTCAAATGACTGATAACGTGAGTCTCCTTCCCCACTACTTGACCCATGCTCCACGTCTGTCCCACTTTTTCGATGCTCCTCAAGTTTCCTATACTCCAAAGATGACCTAGAAGCATCAGAGTCTCGTAATATCACTTTTGCACAAGAGCTTGAACTGGATTTTTCTCCATCTGATCGCTTGTCATGTATCTCCTTCCACTCCTCACCTACTACCCTCCTCTCCTCCTCTTCCCTGTGCTCCACTACATGCTCATAAACTAATGAGAACTCACTCACTGGATCTCTCTTCTCATCTCCTTGAACACTTTCCACTTGTATCAATTTGACTTCTTCCCCTTCGACTATTTCACTTGTTCTACTTGAATCATCTACTTTGCTTAAGAATACTGCTTCTTCATTTCCAGCCATGAACAGTTCATGCTGTTCAGAATGCATATGAGGTTCTTCATGTTGCTCTTGATTCATGTGGAGACACTCATGCTTTGAACTCTGTCCGCTTGCAGATGAGTGAAGAAATATCTCCTCTTCCTCATGTTCACATGTCTCATCTGACTGCAGCATAAACACATGCTTCTGCTCCTTAGACATTTCCCGAAGGATGGCAGCATGTTTCTCAGGTGGTGACCATTCTCCACTCCTTAATTCCTCATCTGTGATTTCCACACTGGAGACTTCTGCATGAGAGACCTTCTTCTGATTTTCCATTTTCTTCCGAGTTACAGATTCAATGACTTCCCGCTGCCTTTGAATGAATTCATCTCCTTCTTCCTCCATTCCTTCTTGCTTCATTCGTTCAGCCACTTCATTCATCAAGTGTTCCTTTCTTGCTTCCATAGGAGACCTCCTTCGCACTTCCTGTTTTATGTCTTCCACAATATCCTCAGCAATTCGCCTTGCTTCAGTGGGGGACATTTTCCTCCGGTCTCGATCATTACCAACTTCAAATTGACTGGTTGCAGGGATGTCTTGAACCATCTCACTTGGCTGTTCTTCAGATCCTTGTGCCTGGACTGTCACTTCCCAGATTGTGTGTTGATGCCGCTCTTCAGGCATCTGTACAGGGCTTGGGGGGGGTTTGAAATACCTTTCATCTTTCTCTTCTAAGCTTGAAGATCGAGAGGATTTTGTTCCATCTCGGGAACTTACACTTTCAGCAGACTGGGAAGAGATTTCTCTAATAAGCTTTTGAGATGCCCTGGCTATTTCTTCTTCCTGTCTAATTTTACTTTCAAAAAGAGCCTTCTTTGCTGAAACTCCAGTAAATGCAACATCCAAATCTTGCTCATCCTCAGCATTATCCAACTCTTCACCACTTGCTTCATCTTTCCAGTCCTGTCTCCTATCTCGTGGTACTTCAAATGGACTTCTTGAGCGTGAAACTTCGTTTCCCTCATCCTCAAGGCTGTCAATCTTTTCCACACCAATAAATCCTGTATTCTCATAACCTGCACGACCTGTCTCTGAGTCACTCTCAGATTCAGCACTTCCAATCAAAGTTTCCTCTTCAACCCGTGATTCAGAAAAGCTTGTTAGGCCTTGTTCAATGACTGTTGCTTCTGTAGCAGTTGTCTCAGTGTCACTCTCCAGTTCAGGTCGAGCTGAGTCCAAGCTCCGTAGCCTTCTTGGTTGCACTCGAGGAGGTTTAGGTTTCTCTTCCATGCTTCCAGATGCTACATTCTCCCAGAACTTTCTTCTGTTTGCATAAGAGTCCACCTGCTCTGTAACTCCAGACAGTGATTCTCCATAAGAGGGGGGCTGCATGGAAGGGGAAGGAATGGGTTCTAGGGAACTGGCAAATTGGTAAGGCAAGGAAGAATCATGGGATGGATGCATCTGATGGTCCAAACCACCATCTACAATGGAAATGGGGCAGGGTGTTATTGGCACCATCAGTTTTGGGAATCTCACTTTCAAGTCCTATATGTGACAAAGATCAACCTGCAAAGTGATGCTAGTCATATTAGTCAAGGAATCAGGCATTATTATTAGTGGAAACAAAAACAAAAAGGAAAATAAGGGCACAGAAAACAAATGAGCAACCAAATAAAAATAAATAAATACCTCGGGCTTCCTGTCTGTGGTCTCCAGACATGGTACTGTTGTGGCTACTCTTGCTGCTGCTGCTCAAGCTGCTGCTGCTGCTGCTGCTACTTGCACTTGAACTGCTACTAGTTCTCAAAAGTTTTTTTCCAGAATCTTGAGATTTCTGCTCTTTTTTATAAATTTCTTCAGCATGTAGGTTAACAAATAACTCTCCATCTTCATCTGTGATAGCCAATGAGGAAAACTTATCTTCTGTTTCATCATCCATATCTTCAACTTTCAGAGCTTCTGCTGCAGCAAGATTTTCAAAGACTTCAGCAACATCATCTTCATAAGTGCTTTCATGGAGATCAAGCTCCCACTTTTCAACATCAGCATCAAGCAGCTGAGTAGCAGCAGCATTTTGTATGATGACTGCCTCTATGGAACTATTGCTACCATGAGGGGATGCAGACATGCCTTGCTGGCCATGCACCAACTTCTCTGCTTCATTACCATCAAGACCATGATCATCATCATCATCATCATGATCATGATCATCATCATCATCACCTAGTTAAAAAACACAAAAAAATGAATGCTAACTAAAACATCATGCTAGCTGCACATGATACAGGCAACATGGCAGATATAGAACCTTCAAATGCACATCAATCATTTTGACAATAGGAACTCTAGAAACAATGAGCATCAATTAGTCAGGCAGAGTAGCCGTGCTGTTAGCAGAAGGATCTCCTCATCGGGCTTTGGGGGCATAGCTCCTCCTACCTCGACATGAGGACATCACTTCATTCACTATTTCTGAGGACAGCCTCTCTCCCACTGCATAGATATTTTCATAGCTGGAAGTCCTCTGGGGTTCCATTGCTGGAACCGTGCGATCTCCAATCTGTTCTTCAATTTCTTCTGAACTTAAGTCAGGTACAGCATGCACTTCTTCAACCTCAAGATCATCATAGATGTTTTCAAAGCTGGATGTCCGTACAATGAGGGGTGTTCCAGTGCTCAGGTCAACTATATCCATTCCACATCTATTCTCAGCTGCTAGGTCATTTGAGAACATTTGGAAATATTGCAGGGCTTCAGGAGTGCCAGTGATCAGAAAAGGAGAGGAATCAAAGCCATGTGGGTATTCATCTTCTTCCAATGGTTCCTCCTCTTCTTCCAGTATATGCATTTCCCCAGGGTTATCATCATCCAGAAGAAGAATGTCCCCAAGGATGTGGGGTTCTGTGTCTGAGCCATATGTGATCCTCCTTATCAAATCAACAGGTGGACTTGGTGCTGGGAGTGCCATGATGGAATCAATCTCTCCAGGATCTACCATGAGCACATCCTCAACCTTTACCTCTAATCAAAATGGATGCTGAATGCACAAAATGAAACATGACTTCATTGAATCACCTTGGTGATACTTTCATTCCAAGGAGAAATTGATTGCAATGTACCACAAAGGAGCAGAAATATTTGAAAATCACTCTGAAACAGTAGTACAATGTTAGATCCCAAATTATGCATTTTCTAACCCTACTTTAAATTTGAAGAATTCAATTATGTTCATTTTTTCTTTCTGCTTTTTTCAACTGGGCAAATTACACATTAGTCAATTACCACATTGTGCTTTCAATTTTTGGAATAAGAGCTTAGAGGACATATTGAATACAAAAAACATTAAATGATTCTGATGATTGCATGACATGAAAGTATGATTCCAGCTGCTTGACAGCAACCTCCTCTGATCTGCAATGCTGGACATTATTATTATTACTATCTATATTGTAGAATAGATATTTCACCTTTATTTTCTCATTGACATAGCACACAGGAGCAAGCCCCCCCCCCCCAATTCTAACCCTGTATCCATGCCACAAGGGCTGGTGATGAATTGTTAGGATTTTACAGCAAAACTTCACATGGATAGTAAAGACCAGCCAGGAACACAGGGCTCCAATAGAAGCAATAATATGGCAGGGGAGAGTCTACAGGGGCCCTGTAGTTTGCTTGTCAGCTCAAGGCATTCTGCCTGTCACTATGTGTACTGGTTTAAAATGTGTTTCTGGGGGTGTCTCTAGCAGACAGTTCAGGAGCCTGTTCCTGGAAGTTAAAACTAAGAAGGCTGTGCAATCACTTGGTGAAAAACTCTGAAGCTAAGTTGTGCCTAAAGGGGGTCATACCAGTTACTGAAGAATGACAAGCAGAGCCAACTGGGATTGTTCTCAATGCCCAATGGCAGCTTTACTAACACACCTGATGAGGCTCTGGGAATTCAGTTAAAACTCATTCCCCAGATCTGTCCTCTGATGAAACTGTTATGGAAAAGCCAGCCTTAGGACTATGAACTTTCAGGTGGAGACATATGGCAGCCCATCATAACTACAAGCAGAACCATGCATGTCATTAACTCTTCCTAACCAAAAAATGCACCAGAAGAGGAAGAAATCTACCCATTTATGCTGCAGCAGAGTGGAAATTGATTAATGTGCTGTCAGACTTTGTTAAGCATATTTATTCTTGAGATATGATGCTAAAACTTGATGAGTCATGGGGTAGGCTATTATATCAAAGCCTGGATAAATGTTTTAAAAAGGGTCTACTCCAATGCATTGATTCAGTCCATCGGCTTGACTTCTTTCTTCTTTCTTCATGATTTACAGAGCTTGATTTTACAATTGCTTCTAGGAACAATACCTTTGGGCTAATAATAATTATTATTTCCATTCAAGAAGAGGCCACCCACTTCCAAAGCTCACTCCATCTGGGCAATGACTATGACTAGCAGGAATGAAGGTAGCAAATCTATGATGAAGCACAGTGGAAGTAAAAACTGCTTCATTGTCAGCAACCCAAGATTTTCCAAAAACATCAATTGACACAAACCTCAACTATAACTGGCTGATGAAGAGACTGCTGAAGGCCCAAACTGAGGGCACCATCCTGTCCATTCAGAACCAGTGCATCAGTACTCATAACTACAAGAAGCATGTCCTGAAGCAAGATGTCAAAGACCACTGTTGATGCTGTCATAGTCCACCTGAAACAGTTTACCGCCTTCTGAATGCCTGTCCCCAACTTGCCCCAAAAGAGTCCTTGTACAGGCACAACCAGGTGTACAAAAATGTCCACTGGTGTATCTGCAACCATGCTGACATGGATATCCCAGGTAAATGGTACAAACACCAACCACAGCCTGTAGTGGAGACCTCTTCCACAATGGTACAGTATATAGGATCAAAAGGTTGCATTATGGTTATTTTGCAACCTAAGTGACCCATTTCAATGTTTCTGCTACATTGTTCTGTATGGTCCCAGCAACAAATTTTTTGAGACATTGTGTTGTTTTGTGATGTTGGGATGTTGCTGCTAAGTCACAGAATGACATCCATGGAACAACGTTGCTTTAATGTTATCGGATGTTGTGTTTGGGCATGGTCTAGATACCAGCTGTGGGCAGCAAGACAATCATGGGCTATTTTCATTATGTCCAAAGTTTTACTTGTCTCCACATAATATCCATGAATCTTGGTTGACCATAACAGCCCTTGAGTCTTAACAGTTCATCAATAAAGCTATTCTTAATGGGAAAGGCCTGTTAGGCTGCCCCTGCCTATGAAGAAGTTAGAAATGCCTAGGATGGTTATTGGTTAAGGGAAAGGTTTCTGAAAAAACTACTCAGGAGTTTGCATCTGCAGCAAAGCAAAGCTGGATGTTTTGAACATGCCCTGTGATGCATGTACTCTTTAGCATATATTTTCAATCACAGGTTTGAAGTTGATATTGGTTCAAAGGGCAAGTTTTCCCCCCTCCCTGAAGGCTTCCTCAATTACTGAAGGACTTGTCAGCTGCAAAGATGGTTAAAGGTTCTTACACAATGTGTATATGGGCATAATTTTCCAAGAGCTTCCCTAATTTGGATGCCATCACTTTTGCTTCTCTTTAGGGGGATATATACAACAATACATCAAGGAAATGCCTTGATAATTACTGAGATAGCTAGTTTGATGACCAAACCTGAAGTATTGGGTTATGCAGAGCAGATTTACAACACTAATCAGGCAGCCTTTATATCCCTCAAGCACCCACAAGTGAGGAGGCTCATTGTAGTAAAATTCATATATTGGCTCAAAATACTGGCCAATATCCATGCTGTAATAGTGAAATGGATCCCAGGGCCCCATCCACCCTCAGGTTCCCATTAAGTACATTGATGCTTTCACCTAATGGAATTCAGAACTGAACCCACCAGTCTAGTCTCACTTATGAGCAGTACAGAGGTAGAAGAATGGAATAGCACAAATGATCATGGAGGAATAAAACTGACTGTAGGCAATTAGGTAAGTTCACCTCAACCCCATCTGAGGGCACCCCTGGATAGTACCCTGATGGGCTTGAAAAGGTGTAGTCTTTGTGAGATTGTTCAAAAACTTCTGGAACACTGCATCTAGTCAAGAAATAGACAGAGTAGGCAAGGTGAAGTCTCCTTTCTGCCCAAAACTCAGAAGGGAGAGGGAAGGGGTCCAGGTGAGAGCTCACTTCAATGTATACTCCTTCGGGACAAACAATATACGTCCTGGATGCTCCTGGGCCAGGTACAAGTACCTTGAGTACATGGACTGAACCAATGACAAACTGGCTGAGCTAGGTTGAAGCAAGTACCTATTTACTGACTCCAATGGTCTACAACCCTGCATACAAACCCTGGCTGGTACAGGATACCTTGTTCTTAGAAATTTTTAAGCAATGATATTCAATTTGCCCTTCTGAATTTGGTAAAAGTACAATTGCCATTAACTCACTTGAATCTCAGTGCTAGTCAAAAATAGTACTCATCAAAAATAATACTAATAATACTGATTGGGAAGAGAAGTAGCTTTGTCAGGAAGGTGTGCTCCTTTTCCAGAATGCCATTCAATATGTGCTTTGATGGCACTAGCAAAGTGCTTCATTGACTTTTACACATTTGCAATAATGGTTAACCCTCTTAGTGCCACAGGTCAATATTTTGGCCTGGCCCTGGTTGTGCGAAAATCACCACAGGCTGATATTTCAGCAACAAAATTTTCTCACTATTGGTCCACAGGTTACAGGGCTCACAGAGGTGAGTGTTGGGAATATTTAGTAAAATGCTACATTTTCGGCAAAAATACACAAGGCAATCTTTGCACATCCCTTGCCAGAAAGCTTGACACTAAGAGGGTTCAACACAGAAATCATTATTAACACCATAACTCTAACTAATCACATTGTGAAAGGTAAAGAAAAGAGAACAACACAAACCTAATCTCATCTACACATCAATCAAGAGCCACATCTGTAGTAATTCATGAAAAACCCATGGAGTAAGCCATTCATTGTCATAGGACTATGAAAGGCACCAGGAGTTGCAAAGAGATGCTAGCATATCATATACAGGGAAAAAGGGAAATAATTTCCTCAAACTACATCATCACTCTGCTGGGAAAAATGTATAATATACCATATGGGATTAATGGGGTTTCTTGCATATGATTGGCAATTTATGGGGTCGAATGAAAACTGCACCACCTGATAAATACTTTTAGGAAGAACCAAGTGGTTGATAATAACCCTTTCAGACCTGAGTGGCATGTAAACATGCCAAACCTATAAGTTTCATTTTCCTTGAGTCTGAGGAGCATAATGCCACTCTCATTGGTAGGCAAAGAGGCTAGTAACATGAATGTATAGCAGTTGCAGTTGATATTTGTATTTCAAAGCAAGAAACATGGTGTTACTGAAGCCAAAAATTCCAGGGAATTTTGCAATTTATTCTTGCATGTCTTGCAGGAAAGAAGTGATTAGTTTACCATCAAATAAATTACTTGAAGTTGTCATGAGAAGTCATTTTGAGATCCTCATCTAGTACCCTATATATCACATGTATTCCAGTTCTGACAGGATGGACATAAATACAGCAATTTTCTGTCCTATGATATAAGTATTAATGATTGTCTATGATATGTAATGGGGAAGCTTCAATAAAACCATGTTTCTTCTATAGTGGCAATGGTGATAAGACAGTTTTCCTATGGCATTGGAAAGGAGGGATAAATAGTAGAAGAGAATGTTACAGAGAAGCCACTACCTTCATAAAGGGGATGAGGTTGAAGAAGAGAGAGAGAGGTTCGGTCAGAGTCCACATCAATGTCCTCACATGCAGGATCCAACTTACGATCCAGAGTTTCCAAGTGTTCCACTACTTCCTTCAGCTGCTCTGAGAGAGATGATTCAATCCATTTTCTGGCTCCTGTCAGCTTGTTCTGAACACTAGGAAGCTCTTGGGCATGAACAACTGGGGAGCCATCATAGAGTTCATCGAACACAATGGAACGAACATTCTCAGCCACACGAATCACATTTGTTCTGTGCTTCACAACTTCCAGTCTTTCATGAGCAATATCATCCAAAGCACTCCTCAAGATGTGATAACTCAGCCATTCACTAAATTCAGTGACCAAAGTCTTTTGAGGGTCCTTGACCAACTGGGATGCAAGATGATATGGACGCTGATCAATGGATCTCTGGCTCCCTATAGAAATGACAGTGAACTGATGGGAGAAGCCCGAGAGATGAGACCTTACATGTTCATCAGGTGTGTATGGACAAACCATGCAACTCTAACTACCAGAATGCAGCACAAAGAGTTAGGAGCATGGCCGTCAAACCTGAAGGCTGATTATTAAGAAGTGGGAGAGGAAGAAAACCCTACACATTCAACATTCCTTCTCCTCCATACCTTGTATTTGAGCTGCAAGAGCTTTCATTTGATCGACGTCCTTGGCAACCTGAGACTCTCTTGGAACTTTGACACAAATTTCTGATGTATCACTGGAAGTTGCATCACTGCGCCCTCGTTCTTGAGAGGTTGGGGATGGAGCAAAGAGTCGTGTGAACTGGCCTCTTGTTCGATCATCCATATCAACAAATTCTCTAATACTTCTAATTTCAATGGCCTCTTTCCCAGGCTCTTGTGTCTTCACCATGAGTTTGATTTCTGCCTTGATGGCCCTCCCTTCATCATCTGACAGAAAATAATCACTGCTTGCAGCTAGGTCTTCTTCAGCTGCAAACTTCTTAGCAAGAATTGGGCTGATAGAGCTCAATTCAGCTTTCCTCTTGCTCCCAGGAGACTTCATTAAAGTAGCCTGTTGCTGCTCTTGCAACTCAGCTTCAAGTTCTCTCTCAATGTCAGAGAGGATTCCTGGCTCTTGCAAGGGAGGACTCCCAGCAGAACCAGCACTAAGAAGAGGTGGGGTGAAGGAGCGGCCCATCCACTCGATGGTTGACGCCAACGATGTTGCCACTTTTGCCAAACGCTGGCTCAGCTCATGTACATCTTGTCTTTTCCGTGCCTTACTTTCAGTCTCATAAGCCAACACCTGTGTCTCTCCTCCTAATCCCACCTGGAGTTTCTTCCTTATCAATGCCCTATCAGGTGTTGCAATGGTGGCAGTCCCTGATGCTGCTGAGACATCACAAAATAATCAGAGGAGAGAAGGGAGGATAAGATGCATATGCAATCTCCTCTATATTCATGGATTCTGACCGAACCCCCTCTCTTTCCTCCTAATCTACATCATTTTCTACATGCTTTCCTTTCTAAACTGCAGCCTTGCAAACTGAAACTAAAATTCACACTCTGCATCACTGAAGATTACAGGAAAATAACAAAGCATATGGAATGCGAACAGGTTGAGAAGGGATTACTATTTCTAAACTCTTCCCAATATGAGTTCATTCAATTAAAGGGCTCCTAGGCAAAAAGCTCTTGCTATCTCAAAAATTATTCAGTTGAAGTAAGAGCCTAATATAAACAATACTTGTAGAAGACAGCCATATTCCCTCTGATGGGAAAATTATTACTTTCATATAAAAGATGACAACCCCAGGGATGGCCTCTGACAAAAGCTCAGTCATAAGGGAAAAAAGGAACTTAGCACCTTCTTGCAAGGAGCCTTTCAATTGTAATTTAAGAAATACCCACTATTTAAACTTTCAAATAACAACCAGGCACTTGGAGCTGATAGCTGGGCATTGCACAGAAATTTGCAATCTTCCATATTGTGTTTCATGGAAATGAGGCAAAACCATAAGCTTCAGAACCAAAGAGCACCTGTAAAATGATATGTTTCAGCCTTCATTGAGGCTTTGGATTGACTGTAAAAATGCAAACCATGGCAGAATATCTCTTCAATCTAAGTGAGACCTTAACTTCACCTCTTGGGCTGTTGAACAAGAACTCAAAGGCTAACAATAGTCCTCCAGTAGTAAATTTTGAGTATAGTTCAAATCCTGAGAGAACCGAAAAAGGACATGTAGCAAAGGCTCCCATCAATCTATAGGCAGACCATCCTGTACCATCTGTTTGACTGAGACAAAGAAAAATAAAATCTGTGATGGATGTCCCCAACTAACCAGCTTGCATTCCTTTAGCCTTTCTTGAAAGGCACACTGTCTTTTCATATAAAACAATGGGTGTGCTCATGTTTACAGCAAGAAAATCATTTAACAAAAGAAAATTGTGATATTAATCCAAGTGGAAAATAGAACTACTACTGAAACCTGGCAATCTTTGCAGAAAAATGTTACACATGAATATATTCCATGCACCAAATAAACTCCAGAGATTCAAAATCCAAATAGTCTCTCTATGAAGAGAGAATGAAGGAGATTTTTCTACATAATGATGCAACACTATCTGGGACACAAAATGGCATGCACAAAACACAGCCTCTGAATTATACCTGATGTGGAGGATTCTATCATCAGATTCTGTGAAGAAGGGGACATAATCAACAGGCTGCATATCCCAAAATTTGGAGACCAAGAGTGGATAGGCAGAGTAGTTTCAATATAAATTTCACTTTCAAAAAATGTGAAAAAAAAGGAAATCAAATTGTATGACAGACAACAGAAGAAACACTTCTAGAGAGGATGGAGAGGATCATATGAGAACTGAAGGGAACACATGATATAACAGGAAGTCAATGGAACAAAAAGACTGAGCAAGATTAAAGGCAATGAACCTACATTGTGATGGCTTGGATCAGAATAATAAGATATGGACTGCAAGCTCTTACCTGGATAGTCTTCACTGGAATGATGAAGGCTCTCCTCATAGTCTGGGGGCTGCTCCAATTCTTTTTCTGAAAAGAAATACAAATCACATTAATTATAATATTCCCTCTGCAAAAAATCTGAAGGACCATTTATTGCCACATAGGTGCATGAGTACAACAGTGGAACTGGCTACTGCTTGAAACCAAGAATACATATTATAGAAGTCATATTACATATCCTGCTGAAACTTCATTAAGTCAGAAAATTGACATGAAAAAGATGAAACAAATTTTCAGAGTATAGGGAATTTAGTTGACACACATGCATACAGTCAAGTTTTCTGAATCAGACTAAACAAGACAAATCCAACCTCTGCCACTGGAAAGCAACTATAATGTGGAAGAGACATGACGTATAAAGCTTCTCATACATGCAAAGAACAATAGTTCATTCCACTCAGCATGATGAGCCAGTTCATTACAGAACATCTAGCAGCTTTGCCAATAACTTAAACTGTAGCATTAAATTAAACTTAAGCTTTCTTCCATGCAATATTGTAGTGATGCCATTAAAAATAACATTAAAGGCATCGATTCCTTGGTATATTATCAATGGAAAGAGATCCACGAGATCCCTCACTACTACAGCAATATATATGCAGGTCTCCATTGTTAGAGGAGTGGAGAAAATTCCTGCATCTGCAATGCTGACTCTTTGGATGCTTTTTTTTTTCATAATTGACAATGAAAATAATTGATACCTCAAGCATTTGCCAATGCATTGGTGCAAACTCCCATAAAATATAATTAATATGCTAGTACAAAAGCACTGGCATAAATCTGGCCTTCAATATTCTTTGGATAAAGGCAGAAGTAAGGCAAGAACATCCTGCTTACTTTTTAATTTTTGCTTATTAATTCATAGCATGCCTGCAGAGGCTATGGGAGAGAATGAGTTACGAATTTTTTGGAAGATTGTCAAGGAATCAAATACACTAATCAATATTATAATGGGTATAAAATGCTTGAACAGCATCCCAGCCAATTCCTATAGGCATCTAAATCTATCAATCATAACTCGTGGAGAGAGCACAAATGCCAAGTGCATGTATGTGAGTGCAACAATATGACAGCACAGTGTAAAATATATGTAATTAATTTTATTCAAGCAGCTTTCACCAGTGGTCAATGTTGTTGCACAGGGAGGAGAAATTGGGAGGGAAATCCAATCCATTTTTGACCAGACAATTTTACAGTAAAAATTGCTATTGAGAACTTTGGAGATTTTAGATTTAATTGATGATCTGACAAAAGGATGAGTATTCAATTTTAAAAATAATCAGGTGGGAAAAAACTCCCTTCTTTTTACCCCTTTTTTCAACTGCAGAATGAGAAGTGAGAAATTGTCAAATTTGAAAGGGCTTTGAAAGGGATTTTTAGCTTTCAAGTGGAAAGGGAAGAATTTTTCATTTATCATTATTTAGTGAGAAAAATAGAAAATTCTTAATCCTATAGAAATGATCAAGACTGCAGATTTGCTCTCTTGTCAGATCATGATATGGTGCATTAACTTGGCAGTGCTGAGACATCTATCATGACTCCTCCCTCATATTTCAGCAGCATGCTGCACAAGTCAAAACTCTTTTATTATGAGCCAAGGCCCACGTGCAGCAGGTCTGAGGACAAATTATAGCATAAGCAAGAGAGATTTGGCTTGAGCCCTGAATACTTGGTAATGAATCCTGACAAAGGAGCCAATGCTATAGAGCTACCAGCATAACAACTCAAAAAACCTGAAATGATTATTCATTAAAATTACTTCTGAGTTTGTATAATACATGATAGAAGGAGTGGAATCCCTGTCAGTGGGTTTGCACTGGAAAATGATGTACAGTGAAAGCTGATTTGTTGAAAAATTTTGGGATATTTTGCAGAGCACTGTAGTACCACATTTTAGAAAAATTACTAGTGATTACAGCAGTGAATACACAAATCTATTGATTACCAGGACATTGAGAACGAGTGAGTCAGTCAAAGAAGTTACAAATTGTGTAAACAGCATGCATGCCACAGAGTCTCAAGTACATAGCACTGCTTCTGCTGACAGTGGTGAGAAGCCAAGGCTTGTGAAGCTCCCAGATGACATGCCAAAAGCAGAGATTCATGGGATCCATGGGGGGAGTCTGCAATCTAGTGTATGTTGCAGCCTGCAGGGTAAGCAACTAGGGCTCAACTGATACAAGCCATCTAGGGATGGGGCACCTTCCTCTCACATCTACTCACCAGGCCCCAGCAGCTCTTCCACATCTGTCAGACAGGCTTCACCTGGCCCTGGTAGGCCTAGAACGTCTTTTCTGTCCAAGATTTCTTCATAAAGAGGAGTATGGAATTGTCTAATTTCTTGTACATGCAATATCCCAGCTTCACTAACAAATGCCCTCACATTTATATCAGGAAGCTGATTTGATTCATATTCATCATCAGATGAAGCATATATTAGATCCTCAGATTCATGAATAGGCATATTACACACCAACCCCCTTCTCAGCTGTTGATCTTCAATAGTGTCAGAAATTTCTGACAAGGTGAAATTCTCAGAATCAGTATTTCCATCATCTCTGCCTGCCATGTCCACCTTCCCCTGTGTCACCATATATCCCTTGGCCATTGAAAGATGGGCTGATTTTTTATCTACTGGAATGTCTTCTGTATCAGTAAGGTTATCCCTGGGTATCTGTGGCAGCTGCATGCTGGCCTTGGCCTTTGCTCCATGCCTTGGTTTTCGAGGCATCTCATCAGAAGAAAAATCTTCTGTTTCAGTTTGGCTCTCTTGTTCAAACCTATAATGCCTCTTTGATCTTGCTACAGCAGTTCTGTTAATATCAGAGGATTCAATGACAGTGTCCTCAGCCCATGCAAGGATGGGAGTTTGAGATCTCTCCATCACTGGCAGTGTGAAAATCACTTCTGGGCATCCAACATCCAGATCTTCTTCTTCAGTGAGGACTGTTTCTGGATTCACACAAACCAGTCTATTCTTTTCAACATTTTTTTCAGATTTTGTTTGGATATTCATGTTACCTGATTCTGATGCACAAACATTTTCAGTTGATGGGCTATATGAGAGCATAGGTGACACTGCAGAAGGAATCTCTAGTTGACTGTCCTCCAGTTCTATATCTTCCACATCAGTAGAGCCTTGTCTTCCAGATTGAAAAATATCAAGGGAAGATGGCTTCTGAGTCTCAAGTGAATATCCATCCATCACTCTGCTCCCTTCTAAGGTCCTGACCTTTTGAGCAACATGTGCATAACCTGTTCTGGTTGCCATAAATCTCATTTTGACATTCTCATCTCCATGAGTGGAATCCATGAAAGGTATTGCATCAGCTTCAAAGTACTCCTCATCAGTATTTGGATCTGGAACCTTCTGGTTTGGGAAGAAGGTTGGTTCTTGTGGAATGTCCAAGTCTGAGCCAGAAAATTCCTCCTCATCTGTCATCACTTTTCTTGGATCAGAAAATGCTCCAATCCATGGGGATTGCTCTGATATCTTCACATACTCAGTTGAGTGACAAGGGATGTCAAAAAACTGTGGGGATAAAGGTGGCCTCTCCTCCACACTTTCTGGAGATTCTTCCAGCAATAAATCTTCAACATCAGTGTGGCTTCCTGCTATATGGCTGCCCAAAGTTTGAGATGTCTCAACTTGAGGAGCTGTACTAACAGCTGCTAGTCTATTGAAACTAAATTCAGCCTCTGGCTGTGCTTCAACTTCCTCATCCTCTGTAGCATTTTCTGCTTCAGGAGATAGAGTTCGAATATAAGATTGTTGAACATTTTTCTTGAATATGATTGGGGATGGAATGAAATCAGAATGAGATTTTCTCTCTTCTAGGCCTCTTCCACCAGGTGGATAATAGGATACTTCTTTGTTAGTCTCATGAGCTACTCCTTTCATTGGGATATCAAGGACTTTCTGGGCCTCATCATCACTGATCTGTAGCTCCTCATTGTCAGTAGTTGGTTCTTGAAGGAACTCAGCCAAACTGAGACACTTTTCAGAAATTGATTTTTCAATGACTCCAGATCCATCATCCTGTCTCTTCACCAGAAGGGAGGCTATTCCATCCACTCCAATCACTTCCTCTGTGTCTGTAGATCCTTCTAGGAAATTTTCTTCATCCAACAAAAATGTAACATTTTGTTCTTGTTCATGATGAACAACATCATTGCCATTGAAGTCACCCTTGAGGAGAATATTTACTTCATCCATACTTCTTGGTGATACAACTGGAATTTCATCCTCATTTGTTTCCATATCTTCAGTATCTGTGATGCATTCTTGAAGGACAGGTGATGAATGTCCCAATAAGCTGTACATGTTGATATGATGTAAACAAGATCCATCCACACCTTTCATTACAGTATCTTCCAGCTCATGTGGTGGAAAAGACTCAGTACCCTTAAAATCCAATTCGTCTGTGTCAAAATCTGTTGAGACTGACTCAAGGTCTGTCAGTGCTCCTGCTTCAATGCATGGCTTCAGAGTAATTCCACCAATGTCTTCTTCTTGCAGACTTTCTATATCAGTGAATGGGTCTTCTTCATGCTTCACTAACAAACCAGTTTCCAAGTTTTTCTTTATTGATGGAAGAGGAGGAGGCCTAGATCCAGGACCTGAGACAGAAATGGTTGGGACTGTTCTGGCAGGGGATCCCATGTCATCAGAATCTGAATCCTCTTTCACATACAAGAGAGCATCTTGTTCCACAACCAGATATTCACCTTCAGAATCTGACTTGGAAACAATGGATGTGTCTGTATTAGTACTAACTAGTGAAGAGTCTCTGGAAATGGGATAAGGATATTCAAAAGGGTCATAAGATGCCTGGAGATTCACCTCCTCTGAAGGCAAGGAGGGATCACAGGAGAGGAAAAGAATTTGTTGAAGTCTGTCACCCATTGCATCATTATGAATGGGTACGACTGGAGATAAGACAACACAACTTGGTAGTTGGGGAGGGAGCTTTGTATGACTATGGGGAGCATCTATGTGCCTACGGTGTTCACTAGTGTCAAGTGTTCTACTACTACCATCTTCAGTTTGTGGAGGCCTTCCAGGGTGATACTCATTATCATTATCGTTATCATCATCATCATCATCATGCTTTTGAGAATCTGGAGAAATGGAACTTGAATATGTTTCAGGCTCTGGACCACTTAATGTACCTCTTATGACTGGTACGGGCACATCATCCAGTAAGAATATACCATCAACTATCATATCCTTAGTAACATCCCACTGAGATCTCCTAACTAAAGAGCAAACTTCAGTGATAACCATTTCTTCCACTGATTCCTCAAATATTGTCTCAATGACCTCAATATCTTCATATTCATCATCTTCACTATTGTGATCCTCTCCAAACTCCAATGGAGTCACTGACCATGATGAATCCATAACCTCAGGTCCCCAAGCAATATGAGAGATACCAGATAGGACTGGACAGTCCAAGGATATGGCACTGATAATAGAGACTGGGTATACACGAGATACAACTCTTTTTTCCTCACTGTTGAGTGTTATTTCTTGCCTGGGTGCTTCCTGACTAACCTTTTCCCATGTCATTTCTAATACCCTCTCCCTGGAAGAGATGCCCACAGAGGTTGAATTTATCTTTATTGTTTCTCCAGGTGTTTCACCTACAAGCACAAAACCTCCTGAATCAAATTCTTCTTCCACTTCCATGTATTCATGTGCTTGAGCAAGTTTCTCCTTGCCACCACTTTCTGACATTGGTTCAACTGATGTCATCAACACTGTTATATTCATGGGTGGCATTGGTGATGGAGGCAAAGACACATGAGGCTCAACACTTGCTTCTGAACCGATTGAGGGGAAGTCAAGCTCTTCAAAGATCACACCTGGGCTGACATCTCTTACTCTATCACTGAGTTCACTAGGAGGAAAAGGAGTCTTGTCTGATGAATGGAAACTTCCATCCATTTCCCTTACTGTGCTTGCCATGACACTACCCACAATTGTATTAGTGACAGGTTCTGTGTCCCAAATGTGCATGAAGTGCCCATCTTGCCCATCTCCAAGGGGATGTTCGGGAAGAGATCTTGCAAGCTCTTCCCGTACATCCCCTTGGAGATCACTGTTGTTAAGAAATTCAAATTCCATTTTGCAATCAAAAGATTCTGTCTTCTCTTTTGGCTCTTGAAGATCTGCCATGACTTCTAAGATTTTCTGTGATTCAGATGAATGAGTCTCTCCACTAATTGCAAGATGGCCATGAGAAAGACAATGGTGCTCAAGCAAAACTTCAGGGAAAGACTCTATCTCTTCAAGTGTATCATACTCCTTCAAAATGGAAACATCACCATGAAGCACATTGCCAAGAACAGGGAAGCTGTGATGAAAACCAATCACATGAAGTAAAGGCATGTCATGGCTTTCTGCCTTAATATCAGCTTCACAATGTATGCTAATATGGAAAGGGTCACTGGGCTCTAATCTGGTTTCTGTCTCACTTTCAATTATAACTTCACCACCATGAGATCCAGGAGAAAGAAAAAGACGCCCAACAACGACTTCTTCATGTTCACAACTATGATCATCTCCTGCAATGCTAGATTCTTCTGATTCAACATCTGATGAATTTTGTTCCCTTGATGAGATGTCAGGATCCTTATATTCATATTCCAATTCAGTGGAAAATTGAGAGATAATCGGCAGTTCCCAAGTCCTTGTGATGTCTGGTGATGACCTCTGAGAGTAAACAACTTGTGATATAAGAAGGCATCCTTCATAAATACCATTAACCAGTGGAACATACTCAGCTACGTGCATTCCTTCAGAATCATATTCAGGTTTAGTTGATAGGTAATCTGATTCCATGAACTTTTGAGGAGAGGACTGTTGCTGCATCAAACCTCGCTCAGTCTTACCATGCACATTCTCATTCATTGATGGGAAGTCTTCCATTACAGGTTCTAATTTCATTATTCCTTGAATTATTGGCAATACATCATTAAAGCCAGAAATAAGTAAACATTCATGTCCTTTGAGAGTTGCTTCCTGTGCTACCTCTTGGCTCATGACTGACTCTGGGATGATAAAATGATCCCTCTTCTCAGAAAGTGCACCTTCACCTTGAATGGACTTATTCAGCACATCTGACACTATATTCTCGCAAAGTGGTTTATCCAGTGGCGCAAGTATGGTAGAGCTATTGAAAATGTCAACAGTTGATATTACCTCAATCTCAGAGTCAGAATCTGATTGGACCTGAGTCACTTGTGAAACGTCTTGAAAATCCAAGGATTTCTTGAATACGTCCCTTTGCAAACAATCAATAACATGCTCTCCAGCATATATTTCTGAAATCACTGGTATTCCACAAAAAACTAATTCCTCTTGAGGAGGTTCTAGGAGGGATTCAGACACTTCACAATGAGAAATATCACCATAGTCCTTCAAAAACCAGTTCTTCACAGGAATGACAGAAGCTTCCAGCAACACCATCACATGCAATTCATTCTCTTCCGAGGAAAAAGTAACGCCAGACATGCAAGTGTCTTGAACTTCTGAGTCAAAAACATCAGACACTTCTTCAACACATGTACCTGTTGCTGATGAAGTCTTATCTAATGGATCCAAATCGAGTGCCACATCAGTTAGGACATCTTCAGAAGGTTCCTCAATGAAAGGTGCCTTCGAGACATCAAACTCTATTTCGTCTTCTCCTGCATCTATGTCCTCTTTTGCTAGAACCAGATCATGAAGTGTTTCAGGTTCCTGCTTTGCTTCCGGAGATTCCATTTCAGGTTCGATTAGAGCGAGGACATCGGGAGTCATTTGAGAGATGTCAACAATCCCTCTACATTCTACTCCTCCAAGAGTGATTCCTCCTATCACAGGCAATGCAGATGCTCCTCCAATATCTCCAATATCCATTTGTTCTTCTTTTCTACCTATGCCAAAAGCAGGTATCCCAGATACCTCAACCTCATCTCTTTGATCCACATCCGCAACAGATGCAGGTGGAACCGCTGGCATCAAAGAATCTTCTTCCTCTGGGAAAAGTTCTGGTTCTTTCTCCTCAACAAGAGGCACATGGAGAAGTAACTCAGCCTCATCGACTCTAGAGTCAATGACTTCATGCTCTACTTCCTCATCTGAAGGTGGAGCCAGTGGAGTCAGTTCTGATTCATCAACCTTTCGTGTCAGATCCATGATGGGCTCTTCCAAAGTATCCTCAATGAAAGGTGCCTTGGAGAAATCAAACTCTGTTTCTTCTTCTCCTGCATCTATGTCCACTTTTGCTAGAACCAGATCATGAAGTGTTTCAGGTTCCTGCTTTGCTTCCGGAGATTCCATTTCAAGCTCGATTAGAGCGAGGACATCGGGAGTCATTTGAGAGATGTCAACAATCGCTCCACATTCTTTTTCTGTTGGAGAGATCCATCCTACCATAGGCAATGGAGAAGCTTTTTTAATCTCTTCAAGACATATTTCTTCTTCATTTGCAGTAGTGATGTGTATTGGAATGCTTGAGGACTTAATTTTTCCTGTGTTTCCGTCAATTTCGTCTCTTTTTCCTTTGTCTTCATTAGTAGTTTTTATTTCCTCTTTAAAGAAAGATTTCTGTTCCACCAACAGATTTGGATCCTTTTCCATGATTGATAGCATACAGCCAGGTAAATCTGTGTCATTGATTTCCATGCGAACAATTCCCTGTTCCATTTCCTCTTTTGTTGGTGGTTGTACTAAATTCATTTCACATTCATCCAATATTTCCTTTTCAAAAGAATAAGAAATGGGAAGCATGTATGACTCATTCACATTTTGCTTCATTTTTCCTTCCCTCTCTTTCATTGTTGCTTCTGGAAATTCTTGTTGAGATTCATTCATTTTCCCCTCAATTTCACTCCGATTTACCTCCCAGGGATCTTCAGTGAATGCACTTTCCAGAACAGCCTTAATTTTTTTCAGTTCCTGAGTAATTCCTTGCATCCAATTTATCTCTGCTGCACCCGTACTTAACAGGGTTTCTTCATGGTTCATTTTCTCCTCATGTTCATTCACTGAATCTGTGGTTGAAATAGATGAACTTTCCTCCTGCTGTTCCCTGTCTTGTGTATATGATTTTTCTTTTATCTCCTTGTTCTTGAATGGACTCCTCTCTATTGATGGAGGTTCCTCTGATTCTTGGGCTTCTTCCATGATGTTATTCCCCCTCGATATTGTTTTTTCTTGCATAGAAATTTTATAAGGTATGGGAGGAGATTCTGATGATACATTTGATTTTACATCTTGCCTCTCCTTCTCTGAGGAGATTTCTATCTTTTTTTGTGGTTGTTCTGGGGTGGTCTCTTCTTGGAATGTCATTTCCATTTTACAAGCATATGTATTGTGCACTGAAGGAATCGACAATACCCTCATTTCTGTTTCTTCTCTCTCCTCATTTTCAGGAGTGTCAACCTTCAATAGTGTTTCACTGAGAAAATTTTCTGCGAAATTTTCCATAATTTTAGGAGGGATTTCTTGAAACTCACTATACATTTCTGCTGCAGGCAATGTAGGTTGAATAAGTTTTTTCTCCTCTTCTGGTGGAGACACAACTTTTAATGGTGCTAGTATTTGAACTGGTTCAGCTTCTTCCACTTGAAATATTTCCTTGGCCATTGGTACTGCTTGTGTCAGAGGGATCATTTCTGCCTGTAATTCCAATTCCCTTTCTGGTTCTTTAAACTGGAATGTGGCTTGAAGCAGAGGAATGTCACCAAGTGCTTTATATGGCTCTTTTTCCATGTGCACTTCATCAGAAAGAGATTCATGTGACTCAGGAGGAATATCTGATGACTCTCTGTTTGTAATGCTCTCTCCTTCCTCAAACCAGAAAGATAATTGGTTTTCTGACAAATTGTCAGCCCCTTCACTATCAATGTCATATGCTGGTGGCACTGGGACAAAAGCAGGAGTTTCCCAGATCCTTATTTCCTCATCAATCATTTCTACCTTTCCACTTAACTTTTGAAGATTATGAAGATTCACATGTTGCTCAAGAGATGGTTCTTCCTCCATTTCTACTGCTTTGTAGTCTCTCCCCTCTAGTTTTTCCAGAGTCAAATCAGATTTCATTAGTTCAATCTGTTGTATCTGTTGTCCAATGCCTTCTTTCTCTGGTAGAGAATAGTGCTCTTTAATGTGCATCCCAGTAGTCCCTTTTTCAACTATAGAAGAGGTCAGTAACTTCTTGGGTTCATACTCTTTGTTTGAGTTTGAACCCATGGCCATTGGACGTTTACAACTTAAAGCAAAATATCCTGCCTCTGCGGTCTGCTCAGGGCCTTCAATCACAGGAGCTGCATGATCACATACCATTCTATCACTGGTCATGGAAGACCCAAGTGACGGATCACTCAAAGCACCATTAAGATCTTTTACCACAGCTATGTCAAGTTTGCTGACTAGACTACCCTGCAATGCAGGTCCTATCACAGACTCAGCTCCTATCACAGCATTTACATCATTCTCCATGTCTTCATGTGAAGTTTGAACACCAAAGTCAAACACTTTCTTGGGCCCCTCAAGCTCAATAGGACTACACATCATGTCTTTCATTTCTGGAATGTCTGTTGCTATTCCTGCATCTGCTTGCTTTATTTTGAGAGGCCTTTTCTCAATTTCTTCCTCATCCATCTGAATTGGATGGAGAAAAATGTCTTGTTTATCAGGAAAATTACTTTCTATCATCTCCTCTTCCTCTCCTTCCTCCATGACATCCACATCACTTCCTTCAGTGTCAATTAATGTTTGTGAACTTCCCACTCCAACACTAGGGGTCTGAAATCCACCAATTCCAGTGTCTGCTGAATCACTTATGATACCAGTGATACTTTCAAAGGAAAGGCTTGATTCATGAGGTATGTGAAAACCTTCATCTGGAGGCTCAAGTTCATTACTCAATGATGCTGACCGCTCATCAATCCTGATTCGTTTGGATTTCAAATGGGATGTTGGGACTCGAACCAAGATTGGACTGGTTGCTCTGTCTTGTACTTGTGGTTCATGAACAGCAGAGGCTTGTTTGGTGGTCAACCTGGTGCCACCAAGAATAATCTTTGATTCAGAATGCACTGAAATTTTCATGCCCCTCATCTGTTCCTCAGACAGCAGAATACGACTTTCTGTGATTGCTGTAGAATCCTGGGTCTTAACTTCCTGACGGTTATACAGAAGTTCATATGGGTTTAAGTCTGGTCTGCTAGGTTCAGTCCCTTCCCTGATCTCAGGCTCTTCCAAGTCTTCTCCTGATTCTAAAGGCGCCTGAGACTGGCTGTGACTCACTTGAGGGATGACTTCAAAACTGTCAAGAAATGTTGGACTATGGATTGGGCTTAATGACTGGTTTTTGAAGGAAACTTTCTTGGTTTGAATAGGATATGCAATGATTTCCTGGAATGGGATGGGCTTGACTGCTGAGGATGCATGCGATGCCAAGAGCTCTGCTGGGCTCTTACCTGGACCCGGATCAGGCGAACCTTCGGGTTCCACACGCTTTGAAGTTGAAGGTGATGAAGCTCTGAATTGTGTGAGCTCTGATCCGGCATGAACACAAACGGAAAAGAGACATTCCACAGAGTAAATCACTTCCTCATGCTACTCCAATCATCCTCCCCAATTTTAATCACTTGTGACATTTAGTAGACCATGACTGAGAACAAGAAAACAAGAAACTATGATTGATCAAGCCAGAATATTAATTTGGAATAACACTGTTATTTATTCAATATGAATGAGCTCATCCCTTCAGGTCGGAGGGGTGCTTTGGACACTTGCCTGTACTTCATGTGAGAAACCTCATGCTCAAACTTCAAAGGGGAAGCAAGGCAAAAAATTTTGGTCTAAGGGTGTGGGATTTTGATGTACCAGTATCAGGTGATCACAGTAGCACATCTGAATCTTGCCACATGGCAAATGTGAGAAACTGAATCCTGGGAATACAATACTACAGTCAACAGGCATTGACCATGCAAACACCATTAAGGCAGATACAAATACATGTAAATGTTACATAATGAACAGGTAAAAGGAAAGAGGATAAGCTCCACTGGGCTGATAATGGCAAACAAGAGTTTCATAGCCACATTGGGAAAATACTACCTCTATAGGCCTATTGAAGTATATGAGTCCTCTGTCCTCTAAGAAGGTATGGCTGAGGACTCCAGACCCATATGTTTATATAAATAAACATGTAATTTAAAAAAGGATTACAATATGAAGCTGGATATAAGGGTCAGAGACCCAAATATGTCATAGCAAATGAAGCATTTGATTCATTTCAGAATTGCTTCTCTGCAAATTATTTGTGAGTTTAGAACCCAGATCTGCTATCTCACAATGGTGAAACATCTAACTTCTAACAAATGTATATTTTTGTGTCACTTCAGCAAGTTAGCAGAATAACTATTCACTCAAAGAAAGGATAATCATAGGGTGTTAGCCTAATGCAACTCATATGGTCTTGATTACTACAATCAATCACCAAAACTTGGACTTTTATAACTCCTCCTAACCTGAGCAAGTAAGCATATAGGGAATTGAGTTCTCCAGCTTCAGTTCTATCCAGCTCATCATTTGAATCCTTCATATTTTTTCATCGCTCTATGATGGAGGAACTCTAAGTTCTTTCCAGAATTATCATATCTCCATACAATGTAGTTCACATTATCTCCTGGCCTTCACTGTGAGTAGCCCTTGAGATGCTGCAAGTTTTAGCAGGTTCGGTGCTTTGCATTACCTGGATATTCCCTGCCTCAATGTGGTTCCACACTGCCATGGTAAGAAGCACATTGTACAGAGCATCTATTCATGCATGATTTTAATAATTCCAATCCCTGAGATGCAGCTGAGCAAGATATAAATGCAACCTGAGACTCTCTTCTCTGGAACAGGCATTCCAATACTAACCATCTTTGTAGCAAATGCTCAAACAAATGTGCATCAAAAGGCAGAGTGTTACTTTTCCTTTAATCAAGACACTTTATTTTTTAAATGCCAGAACGCTGTCAGTTGCAAAATAATGTAGAAGAAAATATGTATGGAGTATTTCATTTTAATAGGGTAGCTTGGTATTAGGCTAGCTAGGTTCCTGCAGCAGGGAGTCCTGGTTAAAAACTAATCTAGTTGGACATTCATGCCCAAGTACAAGCCCCAGTATGCTTGGGAAGGGAGTTTCCTCAGTATATATACAGTTTCCTCCCATCTCTACACACCAGGAGCACTCTGATGATGAAGGCCAAACCCTGGTAAATTGCTGTAACTTAGTCACCCAAGCAATCTGGGTAACAGGGAGGTTAGTGGTACTTGGGTGTAAGATGAGGGTATAGGGGAATGGGATTTGGATGTGAGGAGGGAAGGTTAGCTGGGATTTCAGAAGAAGAGATGCAGTCATGAGCCTTGAGCCTTCTGTCTGGTAGCTTATTGTATTATATCATACATGTTCTGAAACAAGAGGCTCAGAGAGGTGAACACTACAGCCTTCTGAAATGAATGTACCAAGATACACTAACAGACTGCTATCACTACATCCTATTTGACTAAATCAAGTGGAGCAGTATTTCATTTGAACCCTGATAAATAGAGGGTCTCATCAAACAATTTCTCATTTACAGTAGATGCAATATATTTCTGAAAAATGTATTGGTATGTTAGACTATCTTACTTTAAATGACTTGGAGCCAGCATGTGGCATGAATTACCATTGAACTGATTCAAACTTATTTTAAAATATTTTGCATCTGCAGCACTAGGTTACAAAACTTCATGACCCTGCATCTATAGCATCAACTTTAAGCATGCTAAGAGAGAGAATTGGACTGAATTTAGTGAGTCCATTCCTGATGTCAGAGACTGACACAACATCACCCCAAAGGGATTATGAATCTAAGATGACACCAAAAGCACCATGGGGATGGATGTGCACAGTTCCTGAGAATGCAAATAAGAAAGCAAGACACATCCTGGGAAGAATTATGAAGGGGGAAAGGATAACAGGAGAGGACTGAGGGACAGAAATTGGCTCAATGGAAGCCTCTCAAGTGCTTCCTTGGTTGTCTTCTTTCTCTGCCTCTTGTTCTCTCTCTCTACAGTCATTGATCCAGTTTGCCTTCATAGCAACTCTTAAATTGCTTGTGAAGTGCAGAATGCAAACCCAGTCTTTTTCTGAGAATATATTATGGACAATAACCACTTCTAGATAACCGGATATGGCATGCAAGGAAGAAAATGTACACCTGTCATCACCTGATGTGTCTTAAAAGGAAATGCAAGCAGGACAGGAAGTGTGCATATCTCTCCCATTTCTTCTTAACTCTTCTTTCAACTCTCTCACACAAACTCACATGTAAGATTTGCATTCATGCACATCTCGCAAGACAAGAGAATGTAACTCACCAAAAGCTGCTTCCAATTCATCTCCAATATGTTCTGCATCTTCACTCGCGACCTCTTCAGCTGGAGGGAAAATGAGAGGGTTGCAACATCCCCAAACTCTTCAAAGAAACCATGCAGTGAAAGGTTTTGCATCCCTCTGACAAACCTGGTACACAGATTTCATGGACCTCTTCCTCTTCCTCCTGCCATTGTGGCTGTGTTGACAGAATCTCAGCTTCCAATTGATGCTGAACTTCCTCTGCTGTTGGTGCAAGTTTACCTGTTCAACCAGATTGTTCTTGAGATCTTTCAAAAAAAATCTTTCTTCATGTTGAACATCATAATAAGGAATTAGAAAAATCTCAGAATCAAGTTCCATAACTTTTCCTTCTTTTTCAGGTTCTTTGATTTATGAGCAAATTTACATATCCTTGTATGACTAGCCACTTCTCCTACATGACTACCCACTTCTCCTACAATATCACATGTAAATGATAATATGATTTTGAGCAAAGGTCAAGGATTACAGACTCATTATTTTCTGCCTTTCAGGCTCATTGTCACTGAGGTAAGATATTATTTATTTATATTTATCCAATTTTCCTGAATTCTGGAATTACAAACACAACCCAGCACGAGTCACCCAAGTTTAAGCATCCATAATACAGGGTGACACAAAAGTTCTGTACACTTTAAAAAACCATTGTTGGTTCTGAGCTAACATGTTAGAAAATGTTTGGTTTGGTTTTAATATAAAGCTTAAGATAAGAGGCACTTACTTTCATTGGCACTTTGTGAACCCCTATTAGTTTGTCATGTCATTGTCTAATGAAGATCATCAGTCTGCTGTTATCAGTTTGCATGAAGCCAGGAAGTCTCCCTCTGAGATCTTCCGACTGCTGCAGAACAACAGCTACAACTGGAACTTCATCAAATGCACTATCAAGTGGTTCCTTGAGACAAACTCTACTGAAGATCATCATCGATCAGGTCAAACAAAGTCTGTGTCAACCGCCTCCAACATCTAAAGAGTTTGATTTCAATTTTGTCGCAATCCAAAAGCAATCGCTGAGAAAAACGGTCCATACGACAAAGATCTCTCTGGCGAATGGTCAAGAACAAGCTGAATCTCCAGTCATTCAAGTTCCATGATGCTCAATATGTCACGGAACAAGAAAAGAAGACTAGGCTGTAACGATCCCAGTCACTGCTCCGTTGGTTCGCAGATGGCAGCCATCGCGATATCCTCTTTCCTGACGAGAAGCTCTTCACAATCAAGCAATCCTTTAACTCTCCAAATGACCAAGTGTGGTCAGCAGAGTCATCAGGCATCTGTTCAGACCTCCATCGCATTACTTTCACTCAGATACCAGCTTCTGTGATGGTGTGGGCTGGTATCACTGCAGAAGGGCACACACCACTGGTTTTAATGCCTTCTGGTATAGAGATCAACACAACTGTCTACCTTGACCTCACCCTGGAGGGTACAGTAAAGGGTCAAACAGCATTTTGGAAAATGCAAATGAACTTTTCAACAGGACTCTGTGCCAGGCCACAAGGCAAAGATCACTCAGACCTTCTGCAAAGAAGAATTCCCTGACTTCATCACTTCAGCAAAATGTATAGTCCCAACCTGAACCTGTTGGACTTTTCTGTGTGGAGCATCTTGGAGAACAAAGTCTGCGCTGCTCCACATGCAACAGTCGAGTCGCTGGAGCGTGCCCTTCATATGGAATGGCTCAAAATCTCTCAAGAAACACTGCGTGTTTCAGTCAATACGTTTCCAAAAAGACTTCGCGATTGTGTGAAAGCAAAAGGTGGCCCTTTTGAGTGATTTTGCTGATATTATATGTTGAAATAGATGTAGTTACTAATAATGTTGTCTCATTTGTTAGCTGTTTAAAGAAGTTATAAAATGCTGAAAAAATTGAGTGTACAGAACTTTTGTGTCACCCTATATATGGCCTCTTCTAACAGGTGTCTTGGGGAAAATATTTTTGAATTCTATGAATGACTTCTTTGCATAATTTTGTTTCTATTTTAGCCTTTCCTACTTTCACCCCCAGCTGTAGATTCATTGCATGGCTCTCCCCCTTCATTTATTCCCATCTGTCTTCCTTATTCCAAAAGGGATATGTCCATAGATGACTACAGAGGAGGAGCAACAGTAGCCATCATAAAGATAATGTGGAGGAGGGTCTAAGAGTCAAGAAAGTAAGGAAAATGGTCCAAATTCTGGTGCATTCCATTATTGCTGCTTGAAATCTGCTTGTTCCTTCATCCATTTTTCCATCCTGAGCTCTCATGCTGTTCCCATCCCTCATGGAACCACAAGTCAAGTTTGAAAGAATCAAGAACCAGGAATTCTTTATCACAAGACACAGTCCCACTTCAACAAAGATAGGGCAGGTTAGCATATGCTGGAAGAATTCTCTCCCATGTCCCCTGGACAGGTCAACCAGATTATCAGAGGGAGAGATACATGAAATGAGAATGCTGATCATGTAATCTGCCAATGATTGAAATAAATTTACTCAACTTCTTCTTTCCATTTTCATTGAGAATGAGGTCCAAGTCAAGCTTACAATAGATAGCATCCTAGTGTCACCTATTATTCAGCTTTGTAATTTTTTAATTCAACCAGTTATGCACAGATTCCCATCCCACCCAACAGTGGGCAAGCTACATTCTGTTCAGTCACCCTAATTGTTCTTCAAATGGATGGTGCACAATGACTAATGCCATAGCATTTTTCAATATAGCACCACTCCAAGAAGGTACCATTCTTAGTCCATAGTGCAGTGCAAGTAAATCAAGTCAATTAGGCATTCATGTGACATCATTTCATAACCTTCACTACTAGGGTGAGGGTGCATAATTCAAATTGATGCCATCTTTCATAAAAATGATGAGAACTTGAAATAAAATCACATAGGGGTACTGTCTCAAAATGAAACTCAGGTTAAAGGTTAAGGTCTTTAAAAGGTTAAAGGTGCAAAAAAGGTAAAAGAACAGAGAGGAAGAGATAAGTTCCTTCACACCCCACAGTCCAAGAAAGTCCATAAAGAGAAGCAGGCTCTTTGTCTTGGCCATATTCCCACTTCTTATAAAAGCCCTTTCTACAGTATTATATCCAGAATCCATAATGGTCCCAAAAGCAGGGCTTCTGCATTACATCACTCCATTGCTCCATTTATCACACAAGCAAAACCAGAGACTCTGAAATGTTCAACAATTTTACCATCATGTCAGTCATATACGAGGTCTGATCTAAAAGTTCTAAGACTTAATTTTTTATGACGCTGTGGTGACTCTTTCCGACTGCTGATAGTTATATCCTTTAAACTAGTCCTCTTCGGCATCTACACAAATTTTCCAGCATTTCTTCTGCTGCTGGAAGCATTGCTGACACTCATCTTTTGGAATCACCAGCAGCACTCGCGGCACGTTCACAATTTTGCTTTGAATGCCTAAAATCTCCTTCACTTCAGCACATTCTTTAGTTTAGGGAACAAAAATAAATTACTAGGAGCTAAACCCTGATGAGTTGGATGGCTGATGAAGCACGGGATTGTGGGGTAGGTCAGAAACTGCTGAAATTGCAAAAGAAAGGAAATCTCAGAACATTTAAAACAGCATTACGAATGTGCCGCAAGCGCTGTTGATGACTCCAAAAGATGAGTGTCAGCAATGCTTCCAGTAGCTGAAGAAACTCCAGAAAATTTGTGTAGATGCCAAAGAGGACTAGTTTAAAGGCTATAACCATCAGCAGTCAGAGTCACCACACCGTCATAAAAAATTAAGTCTTAGAACTTTTTGATCAGACCTCATATGTAACATGGCATGCCAGAATAACAGAGCAAAATTAGTCAGGCAGTGAATGTGTGAAATGGTTCAGGGCTACATCAATCTCACAAAGATAACACTTGGCAGTCCTCCTTTCATAACAATGCTCCTCTGTCAGAAAAAAGGATAGGAATGAGCCACAGTTAATTATTTGCCTTCACGAGGACATGAAGATTCCAGAGAAGTCTTTTGTCAGTTAATCCTAAGTTAACAATTTCGGAATAGTTCTGCTCCACAAGCAAAAAATTGGATCACCCATTTACATTCTGAACATACTCCACATGTTCTATACAGTGCAGAGAGCCATCATTCCTTATTAACAATAATTAGCACCATAAGAAAGAGGGATGGTAGGCCTCTTTCCAAGAGGAGAGAAAATGACTGGGATAAATAAGGCATCATAGTATAATCCTAGATGAGGATAAAGTTGGCTCATAGATGCTATGTAATCAGAGCAAAAGATCAAGAACCCCTCCTCTCAAGAGATAACTTTATGGCACTCCAAATGGATGCTAAAATTTCAGTCAGCAAGGGGCCTGGGTTTAGTTGTGTGGGTCCCTAACAGGCCCTGTTTTTATTTCCTTGACCCTTTCAGGTTCCATGTTTTCCAGACCTCAGGGAATCTTGTAGGTAAGGTGACTCTCTCTCCTCAAACCTATAGATTTTCTATCAGAAATGTACTGCAAAATATGGGATAGGTAGTCACTAATACCACCAACTGACCTTGATCAAGAATGGCAGATGCAGGGGTTGGTGGAGGAGTACAGATCCTTACACCGAGCTGCTCACCTGTTGGGAATCAAGTCAGATCACCTCAGACCAATAACCAGTTGGTCTATTGACACTGAAAGAGTAGAGCTGGCTAGAGAAAGGGACTTACGAACTAATGTAGGAGCTTCTGACTGGTGTGAAGGGGCTTCAGACAATGAGATAATAACTTCCTCTGTTGGAGGGGACTTGAACCCCTTTTCCTGTCGTTCCACTCTCTCATCCACACCATCCCCAACATCTGTTAACCCAACATCCATTCATTCAGCTTCTTACCATTACAAGAATGAGTGAGATAAAAACCAAATTTTCTTATATGAAGATTTGGATATAAACCAATGCATGCATTATCCATATACACACTACATAACACTCATTAGACCTGATGTGACTCATGGACTGGCATTGAAAACAATGCAAACAAAAGGTACATTCATGAGAAGTTCACTCCACAGCAACATCCATTCAATCGGCAGGGAAATGAAAGATAACATTTAGACAGGGTAAACAGTGAAATAAGAGCATCCTCATCTGAACCTTTAATATTGCTTCTTGTACTAATTACCAAGTTATAAATCCAAAAACAGCTAAATTCTCTCATAGTTGATGATTCTGGAGAATGGTACACTAGTGCCATATTAAAAAGTTGCCTTAAAGATGGTCATATCTTTGAGATGAGTACTTCAAGAAATCAGTGAAATTGTGGGTCACCTCATAATGTCTCAAACAAGTCCAAGAATCACTAGGAGCAGTCATTCCACAACACATCCAAAAATTTTTCAGAGTAAGGAACCAGGCCTAGACTTTGCCTAGGCCTCTTTATTCTGACTTAGATACAAATGATAAGTTTTTAAAATAATTTTGGGCATGAAAGCTGTATATGGGGATGTGTGTGTGTAAGGAGGAGGAGCTATTCTCTAAGACAGAGCTCTCCTCTTGAAAATATACTATGGGGGAGATTTAAAAAAATATAGAAATCAATAGATGTCAAATTCCTTTACATGAGATACTTGTTGATTATGTTAAAACTTCAAGGCTCTCATCACAGTATCCCCAGATAATTTTAATAAAATTTTCACAAGAAGCTAGGCAGGCATATAAACAGATTCACAAATGGCAAAAGAGATTGCACAAGGAGAAAAAATCCAAAGCCAAATCCATTTTTTCAGTTCCTATAAACACATTCACCCATCCTCAACTGAATATAAGAACATAATTTTTTTGTATTGTATCCCAATAATCCAGGACATTTGTTGATGAAATCCACAGCCAACCTTCATGGACATGCATAGGTGATTTCTTGGGGACAGGGAAGGATTCCTCAAGCCACATGAGTTCCTCTGCCATTTCTTGCAGAACTTCTTGCTTAGAACGCTTGTCTTTCTCTTTCTCTTTCAGGGCAGGTTGTCTTCTCACTTCCTTTTTCAATTCTTCCTCTATTGTATGTTCCAAATCAAGATGAGTTGCAACTTCAGGTGTGTGGATTTCTATCTCCTCTGACGGTGCCAAGGCATCTGGGGTTGGCCTAGATGGCCTTTCATAGTCCGTCCGCAATGGAACTGCAGGGAGGTCCACACATTCATAGAAGTAATCAAATAACACATATCAAAAGGAATGCAGGGGCACCATGCAGAAGAGAAGCCATTAGTCAACAGCCTGAAAAGTCACATAAGGGAGGAAAGAGAAAAGCAGCAACAGGGTTCACACAGAAACTAGGTTCCCACAACAATTTAAGATTTCATTTTTCTCTCTTTTTATCTAGATCATCTCAGGAACAATTTATCCAAACAAAATTGTTGTTATTGTACACAACTTTCACTTCTCTGGACTATTAATCACTTCCTTCAGCAAGCAATATTGTCACTGCTGTACTTTTATCCATTTCCCTGACTTACAGAGAATTTAGGTAATTTCTCCAATTTTTTAGTTCTTTTTTTTTAAAACTGCTATTTCATTGAATATTCCAAAATCTCCAGGCCTGTGGGAATCCTGCAAAAAGGCAAAGGGCACACACACACACACACACTTCCACATCATACAACTTAGTAAGTATTAGCACAGTACACACAATATCAATCATAGGACTTTCTTTCACAGTCAAAGCAGAGTCGGTATCTGTGAAGCATATCAATCTACCTCAGGATAAATAAGTGACAAAAGATTTAAATTTGGGTAGTCATATTAGAGATGCTGACAAGAAACAAAGAGGAAGGACATTTTCTTGAGGCATGCATGAGGGACAGCAGTGAAAGAATCACACCTCAATTTTCCAGTTTTTGTTGGTATACATAAGCAACCATTAGCTTAATTGGAAATGAACAATGCTGAGGTTCAACCCTAACTTTGAATGCTATTCAAACAAATTACTTCCATAAAAAAATAACAACTACTTGAAATGTTATATATATCTTCTCTGAGTACCCTGAGCATTTATTGGCAGGGAAACAGAATGCATAAGAGACCAAACAAACTCCTTGACATTGTTGTCAAAGATATGTGTATGCCATTTATTGCAGTGATCTGGCATAGTTTAAAAGCTTTGATAGGCTCTCCATTTGGGCACTTGAATTGGACTGTATTCAAAGGTGGAGAAATGGGAGAGGAGAAAAGTAATCAGTTGTCAGTCTCAGAATTCAGAACTAAAAAATTCCAAAAATTAAATACCAAATAATTATGGGTATTAACATTGCTATCAGGCAATAGCCTCTTGCCATTGGCTATGAAAGGTGACCTCTGGTATTTACCTGTCTCTGCTTCCCCTTCCTGTTGGACAGTGGGACTGGAGCAAGTTATCTTCACAGAGGCATAAAAAAAGGTCTTCACATCTTGAACTGCACATCAATGTGATTCCAATAAAGAGAACTTTTAAGACTGACTGTAAGTTTTCTGTCTATTAAGTACCACCATGTAAACTGGATAAACCCATGGTGCAACAACTGAAGACTAAACCAGTCACAAGAAATAACATATGCACTATGTCTGCTCTCCCCTGCCTGCAACTAGTCAGTATCAACCACAGAGAGAACTGAATTTTTGAACTCTTAGACAGATACACATAAGCACAAAACAAGTCTTAAACACACAAAAGAGTTCCACCTGATATTGTGCATTCCTTAATGTATTATATTTTTCAATTGCCTTGAAAACTATATTTATATTAGAATTTAGATTGAAAAGTGATACAGATTTTCAAAGGAATCTTTCACACATATTATTCAAGTAACAATTTAAATCGTGACCATCACTTAGACTGATGTTGGCAAATTAATCCATCCACTGGCAGGTTTTCTGACTTACTATGAGAAAAGTCCAAGAATTCATCAGGCATACTGGTGAAGGGGTCAAAGTTGTTCTAATTACTCACCCTGATTTCCATAACACACTTGCAACTTGAATACAAATCCATTCACTGCCATGTCTACCTGATTTTGCTATTGTGCTACAGTGTTCAAGGCAGCAAAGATGTAGTGCAGCAAAACATTGTTTGCTGCATAACATCACTCCTGCTTTCCAGTTAAAGGTATCTGCTCTAAAAATGGAAGAGATACCTTAAAGTTTTGATCAATAAAGTCTCTTGAGAATGCATATACACTTCCAGTTATTAGAATTTTTTTTTTTCTTTTCATGTCTGGTCTGTTCGAACCAAAGGCAATTGGGAGAACTGATGATTACCCAATGGACACATCTCTAAATTTATACAGCAGCGAGATGGGACTAAGTGATTGAGCAAGTTCCAGGAAGAGCTATCTTCTGCAGTAAGGAATTATAAGGACAACTGTTTTAATATGGAACATGTGCTAATTTGGTTTCAGTCTCAACCCACAGCATATGAAGCGTTTGTGACTCAATTGGCAACCTAGACACATTGATTAATGCAGATAAAGCAAAACACAGGATGACGGGGACTTTTATCAGTCAGAGGGAAACCACCAATTTCTAACAACACATTTCATACAGAATGCAATTTTAAAATCAAAAGCAGCAGCACCAGCAACAGTATCAAAATTATCACATAAAAGGCATTTTGGGATTTCTCGAGAGCAGAAAAACTGAATACAACTCTGATAAGGCAAAACATCATAATCTCTTCACATTGAACCTTAAAAGAAGAGAAAACAGAAGCCATCTACCACCTCTAGCAAATGTTATATATGAGCATTGATAGGGGTCCTCCACCTAGGGACCATGAGCTTCTATCCCGAGGATCACAGATCCTCCCTGGTTCTCAGTTCTATTATGGCCTGCTTTCCCTGCTTCTCAGCCTGCATCCTTCCTTTCCTGTAGCAGTAATGGCTTGATGGCTAGAAGCCATCCTAGAAGTGTTTCAACCCCTCCCCCCCTCTTATGGAAGACATTATCCCCTCATTTTACTTGTACCGCCACACCCCCACTCCCAACAGATATTGTGTAAAATACCCCTGAAAAAATCCAGAAGCATCCTTGTCTGATAGTGACTATCAACATGTGAAACTATAATATTGATTCCAGAGACCACCAGACTTCTAGGACATTGATGTCCAGGAGGTCAAGTGACCTCAGTATACCTGGTGGTCAGTAGATATTCCCACATGCTAGTTGAGTACTTCTGGTCTATGGTCTATGGTAAGAAGTTATGGTGACTCCCAATCAGGATATCCAGAGGTCCCATGCAAGAAAAACTAAATTAAAGAGAGAAACTCACCCTTGTCTTCAGTGATGCTTTCCTCTTCCTCTGCTGATTCTGCCTCCTAAGAAGAAAAGATGAAGCAAAGACAGTTATCTATTGGAAATAGGGCAATGGTGCCTCTTACTTAGGACAAATGAATATTTTCCAAGATTCATCCCTTCTTGATAGAACCCTCATAGGTAGCAAACAGCACTTGAAAAAACTCATGGTTTTCCTATGAAGTAGGTCTTTTCATTCAAGGTGTGTAGCATATCAAATTACTGAACTTGTGCACTTTTCTGAAATAAACCCCAGTTTTATATACCTGTAATAAGCTCCTTGAAAAGCTCATGATTCATGAGCTTTACAAATGCTGTACTAAGATAGTGACAGAGATTCACTGTTATTCTTTGGTTGACTACACAAACCATTCCATACTTTGTGCATCCATTAGCACACAATCAATGAGATGATACATCTAGCTGATGGCTCCACAATAATGTTCCCATAAAATTTTGACCTTTAACCCTTTCACCATAGCTCTCAAGTAATCTTGTTTTCCATCATCGCTCTCAGCTGCAGTCCCAAATATAACTCAGTGGTGGAAGGGTTAACTTGCCCTGCTTTTCCAAGTCTTATAGAAGATACATTCCTTGACTAAAATTTACAATCTTGCACACCATCTCTCCTCTCTACATGAAGTTTTCCACTTCTTCCCTTTCCTTTGTTGACTGATGATGGGATATCACCTCTTCACCTGACTTTTGGAAAATTGAACCAACTCTCCTTATCATATTTTTAATTCCTTCGCTTTGTTTCTCCAGGTCTTTAGGAAACCCTACACATTCTCACATCTAGAAGAGTGAAATAGGGAAAGAGTATAGGAAGAGAGACTGGCATACCTTGAGGATGTCCTGTTCATCATAGCTGACATCCAAGCTAGCATTGTGTCTGAGGGAAGCATCCCGGGATGGTCCAAGTTCCTCACAAAATGTGTCAAACCCTCCCTGGTCTAAACGCACTTTCGCAATGGCTTTCTCAAGATCATCAGTCACCAGCTCCACATTTGCAATGCACTTGGTCACAATGTCTTCCCGACCAATTTTCTTCAATGCTTTTTCCAAGGTGTTCCCTGTTCATCACATACCTCACACTCAGTCACAGACATTTCAATGACACAAGCTAATATTAAGGCAATATATAGATAGAAGAAATATGTCTTTGCAGTGAAACATAATGAGGCACAATAATCCCTAAAAGCAATGCACAAGTGAATTTAGGCATACCCAATTAAAATTCACACTTCCAAAACTCATGCTTGTGAACTCCAAAATTAATGCAAGTCTTGCCTTCCCCAAGTTCACTATGTTTTGTGGACTCTGTGATATCGAAGCCAAATGAAAAACACCTACAGAAAGTCAATTTGCAGTACACATAGGCATCATGCAGAAATGCACACAAGTGTTCTTTTCAATATGTCGATGAGGCACTAGCCAGAAATCTCTCATGAATGAAGCATTCCCCTTCTCCAGCTGTCTGGAATTTTCTTTGCCTGTGGGGTCTCATGTGGTCTCAAAGCGTATCTTCATTTCTTTTTCTGGATGCTTCTCTTCCTTTCTTATTTTTTTCATAGAGGTATCAGTAGGACTCTATTCTCTTAGTTGATGAAAGATCTGCTGGGAGATCAAATCCTTAGAGGTTAGAAAATTCTTCACAGCATTTTCCTCACTTTTAATAGTCCAATTTTTCACATTTTCAGCTGACCCTTTGGTAGCAAATAGAAAAAATTAATAAAAGCTATCTTTAATTGACAAATATGCAGAAATTTTGTCACTCACCATCAAATATATCTGTCTTCTCATGATAGGAGTAAAAAAGGTGTATTGCAACTGAAAGTGCCTCAGGCTTAGAACTTTTTGATCACCCCATATATGTATGATCTGTAACCTAGCATCTGTGAACTCATATCAACTCTGCTACATGGGGAATTTTGAGGTCCTAGAAACATCAACTCTCAAGGAAAGCAAGCCACATAAAGCTTTAAAATTTTTGCAGATGATTCTTATGCGCCTAAGTCTTGTTTCTTTGTTTTAGGGGTAGTCCAACAATTTTATTACTTTATACCAAGGGTTCTGGACTTCTATTCATCAGCATTTGGTGCATAGAATCTTGGCTACAAGAATGTGGAAAGAGCACCTTGCATGATCAAAGGGCAATATCAGAATATAAAATTTTAGTTGTTTACGAAATAGAGCAATAATTTGGTCCTTCATATGCTTGGACTACATCATGGGGTAGCAAAAATGTGGAAGTACAGCGTAAAGTAGCACAGTCCAGTTGCCCAAATTTGGACATGTTTAGGTAATATTCCAGGAATTCATAGTTGATACAACTTAGTTCTAATGAAAGGAGGGAATTAGACAATGGAGTACCAGTGGCTTCATGGGTTGATGTCTCCATCCACAAGCGAATCATGACCAGGGATTGATGTGGAAGGTTTTCTGGGTATTCCGCTTGGATCACTTCTATATCTGAGGAATCAATGCCTAATTCTGATGCCAATGGGATCCAATCTTCTCCCAGGAGACTGCATAACTCTGTCACTTGCAGTTCTGCTTTGTGGATGTCTTCTTTCACCTTTTTCCCTGTCATCCCAAGACATGAAGTACTCATATTTTGGGAACCTCTTGCACAATAAAAGAAATATTTCCAAAATGGGGTGTGAGATCACTTACGCTGTCCAGGGTGACGAAACATTGCGCTGGAAGATCGTTTGCTCACATCAAGGAGATCAGATTCCGAGGGAGATCGTTCTGGGCAGATGGTTTCAGGAAGGGCTATGTTCAGGTTGCACAATGGCATCTGAGGAGGCTCATCCCTAGAAACCTGAGCAAAATGGAAGTCAATAAATAAAAACAATCACACATATGGTCATAGAAATTCTACAATTGTTTGACAAAAGACAAAGAACTGCTACAAAAATGTAGAAAAGTATGGACAACATCACCACATGAATCAGCCATGGGACAACAGCCAGAGTCATTACTATGAATCTATACTTTTAAAGAATCATGTTACTCATTTACTGTCACAATCTACACCATATGAGGCAAAATCAAAATTGGCTTATACTAGTACCTGACTAGTACCTAGTAGTAGCCTTTCAGAATATGATGAATTTTTCAATCTGCACTGTAGAGTTTAAGTTTGCTATGCATCATGGCATTTTATCAACTAGACTAGCAGCACAGAGAGACCTTGGGTTCCCGCATGAAAGCAATGCGTCCAGCAGGGAGCGTATGGACATCCTTGATCCGGACAGTGAATGGGAGTCGATTCTCCCGGAACGCCTCAAAGTAGAGTCGTAGCTGTTCTCCTGATTTGGTGAAAGGTACCAAGTTTCCTGCAAACTCCACATACTGGGGTTTCCCTTCCAGCACCTATCAAAAGAGGATTTGATGAATCCATAGCCACTTTAAAGAGAATATTTGAAACAGGGATTCACCTCAACATCCCGGCTCTTGGCAATCTCAAGGAAGTGCTCTTGCTGTTCCAGAGTCTTGTCTTCCCTGTCATCTGTCATGCAGAAGACTCTCAAACGACCCTCTGTCTCCTCATGTCGTTTCCCAAACACTACAAACCTTGCCAAAAAAATATATTAATCAAGACTATGTGCAACTTTAAAAATACACTTCTTTCCTTCAATAAATAAATTAATCCAGGCAAGAACAGCAAAATCAAATATCTCCATTTCAATGAATCATATGAACCCAGGGTGGTTATGAAGTCAGGACAAATTTTGACACCTTTCTGAATTAACTTACCACTTAAAGAAAAGAACTGTCAAGAAGCAATGGGTGGACATGACCTTTTCTTTCATTTTCATTCAATGCCCTACTGAGACTCATACAAAAGACTATCACATATTTTAAATGCATCATGACCATGTTGTAAAATTCCAAGCAATGACAGAAAATAGTAAAAGCTAGTTCTAGGAGCTATTAAAGGAAGTTCTGGCTGTTGTCATTCTGAAGAATGCAATGTCTCTTGATGTGGAAGTAAACCAGGAAGAGGCCTTGGACATTGATTCAAGGTTCAAGGTTTGGTTATGGGCATCAAGAGGTGTACCTACCCATTATGATGTCCCAGGTCAAGGTTGGGTGTTCATTATCATATGATAGGCCAAACCCTCTTGGAGATTGATATTTTTTGTCAGAGTATAACCACCTACTGTCTAATCACTTACATTTGTGCTGCCCCCTTTTTTTGTTTTGTCAATGAAGGCATCTTAATGCTAGTCATGATAGGGGGAGCCATTACATCATCACTTAATGCATTCCATGCATTCACTACCCAACAAGCAAAAATGTAATGTATGCCTCACCTGTGGTTTATCCAACTTATGTTGGTTCCCTCTCATCCCTGCTGCTGCCATCAAACTGGAAAAACTTTCCATGTTCTACATTACCAATTTCCTTAATAATTTTTAATGCCTGGATGAGGTCCCCATTGTTAGCCTTCTCTTGAGTGAGTACAATCCCAAATGATGGGTTCTTGTGGCTGCTTAAGTGTGTCAGACAGCAAGGGAATCAAGGATAACACCTAAGGACTGTCAAGCCAGTGAGGTGGTTCTTCTTTTTAAGAAAAGGAATTTGAGGGAGTGAACCAATTACAGTGGTATCACTCTCCTCAGAATGCCCAGTAATACCTATACTGAGGTGATAGAATACTACAGTAGCCATGGGAGCTCTGGACCAGCATTTTACTTTAACATCAGATCCATGAGAAAAATTGGGAGAATGCATATGAAGCTTATATGTGCTTCATGGACCTCAAAATGCAATACGAATGTGTGCTGAGAGGGAAGCTGCAGGAGAACTGCTCAAGAACAGGATCAATGATCAGCTATTGTAGGCCATTCAGCCTTAATGCAGTGATCACAGAAGTTGTATTTCAAGTGAGAGAGATGAGCTCAGGCTCTTCCTTGGTATACATAGAGCTCAGCCAGGGCTACATTTTCTCTCCAGAGAAAATGTAGCTTCAGAAATCTGCATGATTTTTCAGAAAACAAGCTGATTTCTGAATAAAAAGATATCAGAATAATCTTGATATGATTTTTGCAATGAGGAGAGGGGGATAACAGAAAGAAGAATTAGCTTGAGAGCTGGCAGGTTGCTTGACTGGTTAAAATGACACATTCCAGAGATATCTATTAGTACCCAATAATCGATACATCTATTCAGGTCTATTTCAGATTCAGGTCACTTGGGAAATGCTCTCACTTGGCCATGAATGGGACATGAATGGCTTCCTTGTAGAGGTCAGTGGCCATGCGAGTTGCCTCTTGGATGTTGCGACAATCCATGAGCCAGAAGCGAGCTGAGACAGTTGTCGTAAAGGACACACAGTCATTGAGAAATGTAAGAGGGGTTGAGCCTGTCACATCCTCCCATTGTGCCTTGCTGAATCCACCTGCAACATCCACACTGATATGAAAGAAACCACCTTGCCAAGGAGAATACTTTTAAAATCATATATGAAAATCATGCTGTTTGACAATATAACAGAACAATTTTACTTATTCACCTGTTCTTTTATCTCTGGCCTAATGTTATCCTTGGATAACAACACATCAAATGAAACCACACTGATAATCTTTATAACAGTATGAGCATTTGTTTACAACAACAATCTATTGATCAAGACAAAAAAAAGTGGTTCCACATACAGTACAGAGAAGACTCACCAAGTTACCACATGTCCCAAAAGGAGGTATATCAACATAATACTGTCAGAGGCACATATATAATGATTTTCTAGAAAGAGCTGCTACTGTAATATATGATATGCAAGTGAACTGAGGTTCAACTCTTCTCTGTCAGCACAATAAATTTTCACCAGTTCCTGTATACACTTTCCACATGAACAAGATCACTCATTTGGTAGAAGCTACACACTCCTAAATATGCTGCAATTGCATGAGAAAGAAACTCTGATAATGATACAGTGCCTCATATAAAGCACCTACATGTCAATTCATAATATGTAATGAGAATTGCTCTTTAGAAGTGTAACATCTGTGAAAATGATGGAACATACTAGTGGTGAATTTTAAGATATATGGGAGCAATACAGGACAGTATTAGTATTTAGTATTAAAAAATGGAATAGTTGATCTCATACAATCCTCTAGCAAAATGAAGCAATGAAATGAGGAATGGTTTCTGAACTTACAACTAATTTTACTTGTTTAACATCGTGTCCTGTGAATAAGAATGCCACAATTGTTGAATATTTGCTAAATGAGGAAAATAGAGACCTATCATGCAAATAGGAGGGCCAATGGGATTTATGATGCTGGCACATCCACTCAGGCTTGAAATGGGAAGAAGGCATGCTCAATCCTGATGAATAGCAAATGTCAAAGTCAAAATATATCTTCATTCAAGCAAGGATCACATGAAAAGTAGTCTGAACATTTATAAGATCTGATGCCATTTGGTGATGTGTATATCACAGTTACCTGAACCTGGCAATTGTAGGTTCCAAGGGTTTCTTTCAAGGCCAACCAAATAGAGCAGAACTATGCAGATCACATTCCAAATTATGATCCTGTTTCATAAGTAACGCAACTTATGTTTCTAGTTTCAGAGAGAAAATGCAGGTTTGAGATCCTCCCAAATACTTTCCTCTCCTTTGAATAAGTAAAATTAATAAAGCTGGGATTACCTGGGTTTCTCATCAAGTCAGTATTATTCCCTGGAACAGCATTCAGCCATTGAGTGCTTAATACTTCCCAATTCAAAGTCTGAGCAGTGATAGTAAGTGGCATGCACCACCAACTTGTCTGAGTATGATATAAAAAAAAATACAATATCCAAATTTGTTTGGATGTGTCCTCCTTCAACAAAGGTCTGGTGAAGCACCTAATGGGGGTTTAATATTTCCTCAACAGGTCTCCCCTTTGCACCTTCAACACCTCAAAGAATCCTTTTACCCTTCAGCCACAGTTCAGTTCTGAAAGTTTGCTCCTTCCAAATGAGGAAAAATGACCAATATTTACTAACGCCCTCTTTCTTTGGGATAGAAGATTTCTTGTGGAAGAATCATGCCAGACCTTATATCCTTCCTCCTATTTGATATAAGAATAACAGCAAAAGTTGTATATCCTCACTCAGCAGAAATATAGCTGTATGTGAGTAGCTGTGTGGTTATGCATGTGTGGGTTGTGAATAGCCTTAGCTTTCTAGTACTTCCAAATGCCTGCAACTCTGTTGCTGGGAATGCTCTTAACGTACACATCTCTGATGACCTGCATACCACATGCAACATGCAACTGTTTGTGAAATATGCAACAGCAAGCTGGCATCAATGACAATTGAAAGGCTTTATAGTGCACGGGCAGATGAGTGTCTGAGATGCATAACTAGCGTTCTGACAAGTCAATTGCAGGAAAGCAAGAATATAGCAACTCAGGAGAGCATTTCCTTCATATTACTGTACCTCGGAGCTTTGACTTCCAAAAGGCTCCTTGGAAGCATAACATAGAAACACAATGTGCTGGAATCATTCCTCAGTCTGCTTTGAAATCTCTTATTGATTAACTCACAATAAACTCAACACATTCACATTGGATGGAATCAGAGGGTAGTACACAGTAATGGCAAACACATTATCAAAGAGGTTACATGAAAAGACTATTTGTATGATTTTGCATACAAGATTCTGAATGCTCCAGAGAGCAGAATGTGCCCAATTATATGGAAGTGGAACTAATTAGTTCTCAATATTACCAGTGGAAGAAGAACCATGGCAAAAGCTGCCCTTTTATGAACTGCTTAAATAAATGGTTAGGACACTGCAAAGAAAAGCTTTCAAAAGTTTTTGGGGGTTACAATGACAGACTCAAGAATTTTAAAATCATACGTAAAATGTTTTCAGGAAGATAACAATATTTAATTATGCTTCATCATAGGGTAGTAGAGGATCAATATTCCTTGCAGACATTCAAAAAGTTTCAGCTTGTTTTTATTTATGAAGTGATGTATGGGTAATTTACACAAAGGGCAAATTAGTGCTTCCAGACAATATAAAAGCAAATATGACCGAGCTATGACTTTTGAAATGAATAGAAATTCTTATTCTTAATGCTGTACCTGGATTATAGACTGAAGTTGTAACTTAGCAATCTTGTCTCTTATATGTCTGTTCTCATGCAACATTCATCATTCCCTCCCCCATTTTGACATCCAGATATACAACAATTTTTAAACTAGACATAAGTACATACATACATCTACACTACAATCATTCAGAGAACTGTATACTTTGGATTGCAGGCAGAAAATAATTTTGGGATTCTCACATAATGTGCAAACCCAGCACAGATTTATAACTATAGGAGTTTTACTTATTGTTTTCATCACCTTAGTTATTATTTGTAAACAGTAAACAGCCAATTATCCTATGGAAAAAATAGAAAAAAATTTTTATACATAAATTTGTCAAAAGTGCCAGAGAATAGAGTGATCTGAGGAGTCAGCCAAATGTAGTCAATTTGTGGTTTCCCTTTTTTTCCTGTAAAGCACTGTTTCAGAAGTTGATGAATTTTTTCTGGGTGGGATTTCAAGAGAGATGAAGGAAAATATAATAAAGAATTGATGAAGGAGGCAAACCAGTGATGGAGCAGAGGAGGCGGAGTGTGGGAGCATCTCCAGAGTATTGATTGATCATCCCCTTTTGGGCTGCCTGTGGGACTGGTATGGTCAACGTGATTGGCTTGTGGAACTTGCGCCTTCGGGGCTCCACTGTCACAATTGGTGATACTGCCACTCGATTCCCTAACATCTTTGCTACCAAGTCTGGTGGTAGAGGCAGGGCCTGCAACAAATAAAAAAGCTATTCTTGCACTCTTGCTAACTCAAAGTGCATCACCTACCTTCTCTATATGTATACATTGGAAAGCAAAATTGGAAACCAGAGAATAGCATGTTTCAAGTATTTCAATCATGTTGTGCTTGTGGGTAGCAAAATGCTACTCTGAAACCATGGTGTTTCATGTCAGGAATTATTTCATCATCTCTGGAGTAAATAACAAAGGGGAAGGAGATGAAATAAAAAAGAAAGAAAGAAGTGCATACAATATAATCTGTTCATGTTTGATTACTCCAGAGCAAGGCGTGAGCTTAAGTACTGATTCAAGGTTCCCCTTCTACAAAAGTCTCAATGCATATTTGCTTCCTGAAAAGGAAATGTAAAGAATCATATCACCATGTGTTTCTATCATGATGTAATCAATACTGAAATCAATAAATGGAAATGATGGGAATATGAAGACTCCAAGTAAAGCTCAGAATGGGCAGAACTTGACCAAACATAAAAATTAGAAAAAATTATGCTTTTTTGAATGTCAAGACACCTATTCACATCCCACGAGAACTTTCATAGTTCAAGCTACAATTTTCAAAAGTCAGTGAACTTTTCAAAGCTCAAAAAATGTCCATCAACAATAAACCAATCAAAGCCTCAAATTTTTGCTACCCTTTCACCACAGCTCTTCAAACTGACTGCAATGTCAATGGGAGAGTAACATCACATGCATTTGCCTTATGACAGACTTCTGCATAAAAAAAATAAAAAAACGAAAAGCTAGATTTTTCCTTTTGTGCCTTAGTTCTTGCCCAAACTGACATGAACAATCAAACTGGAAGTCAAATGTGAAACAGGTATGCATACCTTTTCAGAAATATAAAGAATAGTGGTGAAAAATGGTGCATGAATAGTCTCCAAGAAAGGAACTTATTCACCCATTATCCTGATCCCCTTCTGAGGCAGAGCTATGCATGATTCTCCTTCTTTCTCTTTTTACTCCTACTCCATGAAGTTCTCATGCCCTTACATGCAAAATGGCAGCACATATGGAGACGAGCTTTGTAATAATAGAAAGAGGTAAAATACTAAACATGGGAGAACATTTTCCTGAAAGGGGCTCTGGGATCATTTCATGATGAGTTCTAGTTGCAGGCATTTGTTAATACTTTGCATGTATGCTTCACTTACAATAATTTCAGGTGAAAAAAGGAAGTGCTATCACTGCACCTTTTGTCACTGCAGAAACACTGTGTTGCTGCATTTTCATGCTCTGAGCAGTAGATGTGGTCATGTCACTTATGGGGATCTGTCCACTACTCAGACTTATATTGATTTCACTTCAAATCCAGAAATTGTATGCTCAATGGCATTGAGAAATGGCCAAAATGGTGGCAAGAGCTTTAATGAATGATTGCCATAGGTGGTTGGGCATTCCAGGTGAGTTCTTGAATTATCAGAAAAAACTTGCTGCTCTTCTTACTCCTATGAAAAAACTATGATGCACATTCTTCTCTGATATTCAGGAGAGTATTGATTTCCTTCAATGAAGTGAATGATTCATCAATCAAGAGCATATCCAGGTTGTACAGCATCTACATGTCTATTATTCTCTATTGTCTACTCTCACCCTTCCTCTCATCCTGCATTACACCAGCTATTTTTAAGACATTTCAGCATTTCTTCCCAGTGTGCTCATATATGAGGGCCTTTGGGAAGTAGATACACTTTATTTTTTCAAGGACACAAAATAGGAAGTGTCATTATGACAAGTCTTCATTCTCCACATAGATGCCTTTTAATTTTACCCACTTCACAATTTACACATTTCACACACAAAAGCACACATATATGTTTAATCTGTGACAGAGATTCCGAATGGCATCACCACAAGCATCTTTGGATATCAGTTTGAGATATTGGAAAATGGAGGATCCCAAGTCACTATAGCACTGAAACTTGTGACCAGAGAGAAGCTCCTTGAGTTTCAGAAATAAAAAGGAGTTACCAGAGGCTCCATCTGGACTGTAAGAAGGATGTAACACTATATCTGAGGCCAAGTTAAGTTTGCAGATGGTTGCAATTGTGATGTCAGCTGAGTTTGGGTAAACTTGATCATGCTGTAGGCGCACTTCTAACAGCAACAGGTTAGGTGTGTTCTTTTGCAGGGCAGGCAGCATTCCTTCTTCAAAATGTGAGAACATCTTTGCCCTCAATCAATGACAACCCAAAGCATTGAATCCACCAGAATGACACCTTCCACATCCCAAAACATGACATACAGGACTTTCCCACCAGATTACTCATTGCAACATTCCTTGGGAACTGGAGACTCAATATGTTTCCATGAAATGGACTCTGCCCTTGTTTCTTGATCATAAGAATACATTCAGGTCTCATCTCCTATGATGATACATCTCAAGAAGTGGTCACCTTCAGTCTGTAGCAAAGTTCTCCCTGCAAATGGTGGCACACTGGTTTTTTGTGGGGGTGTCAAGAGATGTAGGATCCACCTGGCAGACACTTCAGCCATGTGCAGATGCTCATGAATCATGTGATGAATTGAATCAACAGAGGAACCAGTGAACTTCTGTAACTCCTCCACAGTAATATTGATATGATGGTCTTCAATTGTGAATGACTCCCTTAGATGAATTCAATCGGGATCTGCTGCTGTTCTGGGTTTTCCTAAATGCCCTTCATCAAAGACACTCAGATGATCACCAGCAGAACAATCTTCCCACTTGTAAACTGCTTTCTTCGACAAGATAAAGTCTCCAAACACTTTCACAAGCCTGTCATGAATTCTGATGAGATTCTCACTTTCATTCAGTGGGGGCATCTACATTAAAGTTGCTACATTAAAGGCTGAAGCATGGTATTATCTTGAGGTCTACAATATCAGTGTCACTGCTCCATGGCTATTGCCTTTAAAATGAAACAGTGTATGTACTGAAGTCCTATATATGGCATGAGGTATATGGCATGTGATGTAAAATCCCATATTATTCTCAAGGCATCAGTTTATGTACAGTTGCCTCTTCACTAATAGAACAAAGACTTTGTTATCCATTTTTACCAAGAACATTCTCATTGTATTTATGCCAAAGCAGGGATAGGAATGAGGCAGATCACAGATTATGAGACCAGAGCCATGAAAGCACCAGACTACCAAGGGGCTCAGGATCTGTATGGATGAATGCACTTACCTTTTATGGTTTCATTTGCTTAGTCATCTTTTAATGAGATATTTATAAAACTGCAGCAAATGCTGCAACTTAAAGAAATGGAATTTCAATGTGGTTGTACATTTCAACTTGTAGACATTTTTCAAAAGTAGCCCTAACTGGTATGTGCTCCACTGCATAGGATCATTTCTGAAAAAGTTAGAGTTGAGGAAGACCTTGCACAAGTTGGACACACAGAACTCAAAAACATATTGACAATACACATTGCTGGCACTAAAGGAAACCCTTCATTTGCTTGTGAATGTTTTTCTTCCTTCTGGGAGACAAAATATTATGTGTGTTGGCAGTTATGTCCCCATATTACTACACCCCCAATCCATATGCATTGCCACCCAAAGGGCATGGTAGAAAACCTTACAGAACCATCAACCTGTCAGATATCAGCTGCATTCAATTGTCCCTTCCTAAGTCATGACCAAGCAGCAATGGGTGGTTTCTTCATCAAAACCATGCACATATTCATGCTGACAATGATAAGCTCAACTTCATGATATTCCACTTGCCATGATCACATGAAATTTGCCCAATACTGCTTCAAGTGGCCCCCTTTAACAATTACCCTTAAAGTATAGCATCAGTTTACTTCTCTTTTCAATTCGAGTCAATAAAAGCCTACTAGATCCACTTATGTGGGATTTTTAAGTTCAATTATACCATTTGAACACATGGTACATTCAGTGAATCTACCAACATGGTGTCACCTTTGGTAACCTAAGCATAAACTTAAGGTTTTAATATTTTACTTACCTAATCTAGCCTAACTATAATATTGCATAACCATATCGTGTATGCAAGTAAAATAATATACTTGCATCCAAAAGAAACATTACAAAGTAAATACTTCATCATACATCATACACAAATGGAGCTAAGTATGTTGAACATGTCTCCAATTTCAACAACAAGCATATGCAGAACAATACACATCAGTGTGATAAGGCTTGAACTAAAATCCTTCTGTAGGCAAGATACAAACAAGGTAGGGTTCAATTCAAGTCACAAAACTGTTCAATAAGGGATTTCAATGGCACCATTGACCATCATAAACCATGACATCAATGCATATCTGGCATTGCCTTCTCATGCACAGAATGCAGTGTTGGATCACCACTGATTGGAAGTTATTCCACTCAATCAGCATAGAATCAACCAAGGGCATCTGGTGGATTCTGTTGAGCTTGCACACATCTGTCCAGTCCATTCTAGATGTGCTCAATGGGAGACATGTCAGGAGATGTAGATAGCCAGGACAGGAGGCAGACATTGTTGCCTAAAAGAAACTGCTGTGTGAGGATGAGCATTATCTTGCTGAAAGACAAGTTCTGGCCTATGTTGATGAAGGAGAGGTATAAGTTCTGCTGCCAGAATGTCACCTCTGTATGACTGTGCAGCTGGGCTTTGATTGATGACAACCAGCTGTGGCCTCAAGTCTGCACAAATGGAATCCCTTACCACCAGTGCAGCTCACACAGAACCAGGACTTGCCTGAGAAAATGACCTTTCTCCAGTCACACTGTCTAGCAAAGATGGTGAATGCCCCATATCAGTCTTTCTTGTCAATGATGTTACAGAGTAGGACAGCTACAGGGGTGAAGAGACATCAAGTCTCTTTCACAAAGTCACCTGGACCCAATCTGTCAGCTGATAGGATGCTGAGGGATGTTCCTGGCAGTCTGGACAGCTGGCAAAACAGTAGTTCCTTGGGTAGACAGCCCAGATGTGGAGGTCCTCTTGGGAACAGTGACAAGTAGTTGGCCATTCTGGTGAAGGTCACCAGTTTGGCCTGTTTGAATGAACCCCTGATTCAACTTTGTAATGGCCACACAAGAACATCTGAATTGCTGACTTCCTCCTGCATTAAACCAGCTTGGAGAATTCCAATTGCTTGATCTCTTTTTTTCTTGCATTAACCTTGACTTATCTCACGTGCTTTTTGGAGACTGAATGGTATGCAAAGTGGAATCCATCCCTTTTTCACCCATCAACAGCCAGCTTTACACACAGAATGGAGAAAGCCTACATAAGCACATTGCTTATGTGGCACATGCACTGCATTCAAAGATAGGCAAGTACACAGGAATAATGTTTGGTTAAGTTTATTTAGACCAGAAAAGAGCAGATATAATGTCAACACAACTCCTACTATGTGTGCAAGCCCTACTTCACAATGTAATGTTTCTTTTGGATGCTAGTATACTGCACTTGTAAGGGTAAATTCAATAGGAGTGTTATGATATGACATTTGCCTCACACATGTCAAATGTGTGAGGTTAATAGGGCATCATTTAAGCCAGCTGGTGGTGAGTGCAACTATGTATATATTGAGGGGGTAAGATTATATATAGCTTTTTTATTTATTTAACTGGCATAGTGCAATTTGGGGAATTAAGCCATATTTCAAATTCAATTAAGCACAGTTGTGAATTTTGATTGGACAAAAAAATAAATATCAAGCTAATTCTTCCTGGAATTCCCTCAATTCATTGAATAAAGAAAGGCAATCATTTGTTCCATTTAATGGTGGTTATTTTTGAAAGATTGAAAAAGGAGGACTCAGGCCACATTCCCCCAAATAATGGAATATGTGACCACACCATCATACTACAAGCAAATTGGACATATTCCAGGTGGCCCAAAGAAAGGTAACCAAAAATGTAATATCACATTTACTTGGTTAGTTACAGATAATTCAAGTACTGCCCAGTTAGCACAGAGAAAGAATTTGGCTTTTCAAACATTATTTTAGAAGTTATCATGAAGGAAGCTGATCATGAGGCTGATGAACTGATCATAAGGCAAACAAAGGGCTTTCTGGCAGACATCACAAATTCCAAACAGATGAAAATTTTAGAAATAGTCTTGAACACCTGTAGTCATATGATCAATGATGTCCAAAGGATGAAGCTGCATTTACAATGGAACAGTGGGCATGTTCAACATGTCATTAGTAAACCTGCTGACTTGATGATCTAAAATGATTAAATGCAACAAGTGAAAGTGAAATATATAAGTTAAAAAAACATGGAATAGCTACAAACCTTGAATAAACTGAGAGATGCCTTCTTAGATATATTGGTTGCTTTTTTTTTGGTCACCCAGTAATTAACCAAGCTCAGACCATCTTCCCAACAAGTGAAACTCAATATCATTTCCATCTTGTTGAACATTTTGAACCATGTAAATATTAATAGTTCTAGAAATTGCATATGCCTTTTTCTGATGAAATCACAACCATCAGCATAGAGTGGAATCACATGCTCTGGCAGAAAACTCATGGATCATCAACATATTGACTGATTGCTCGGGTTACAAGATCCTCAACAAGCAGTGGTGTCTGTAATGAATCGCAATATTTGAGGGCAGGACCTAAACAATAGTGGTTAACCTGACTATACAGGGCTTTCTTTATATACCTAATTTCTGTTAGGTTAGGTTAGGTAGTTTACAGGGGAAAACCATCTATGTTCAAATAGTTGACCCAGCCAAGCCTTGTAATTCACTCATCCTGCCTAAACAGTATAAGCTGGATCTTTAACTTTTGATGCCTGGGATCAAGAAAAAAGTAGGTATAAGTGTAATAAAGATGTTCTTCGATGCTTTATATCTTCCAATGGTGCCTATTATGTGTTTCTCTGTACTTACATGCTAAAAAATTATGTCCAAACACCTCAAATTCCAACACATCCCGTGGCATGCTATGAACAGATTCCAGTGGTAATCTGTTCATAGCATGCAATGGGAAAGGCAAAACAATATCACACTTCCTGCTTGCACATGTATGTGCATTGGGAAAGATTAATCAACTCCTTCCAAGTTTGGGAGAGTAATTTACAGAATACAAGTGCTTCTTTGGTGAGGAAACTTTCTCCTCTGAGCTTATTTATTCAATTATAATACCCCAACATCTGGATATATGTCCCTGGATCCCTGAAAATACATCTATATTATTTTCTAAAACTTCTCAATACCTTGAGAATTTTTTTGCTCATAAAATAGTGTCAGGACTTTCTTGTCAATATTTGGAGCATCAAGAAATTCATATTTTGGGTATCTTGTACAAAATGAAATGCCCAATTAGGTGAAGTAGTTAGACAGAACTTGATTATAATGTGTAAGTCCAGGTGAGTGAGGCCTGTGTAGATATTGAGGCACATGACCACAGTGCAATGGCAGGGTGGGTGCAATTTTAATGTATGTCCCTATATGTTGGTTAAGGCATGTAGTTGTAGTCCCAAGTGTAATAGCATAAGTGTAAAAATAAATGAATGAACCTTTTTCACAGGTGGGTGGAATTTACAATATACACCAAGCTTCCACAAAAATTCAAGGAATTTCTTTCTTAGTCCTCCTCTATTTTATCTCAATTCAATGCATTGCATCACCTGGTATTGATTTTTCCAAAGGACATTTGTGCAATGTTTCAGACATTTTTGTGTTGTTCTCTGCACATTTATTGGGGATCATTTGCAATTCCTTGTGAGAACTTCAATGTCTGGACTTAATTTTATTAGATAGAGGGAAATGTCAGTCCTGACCCATAACTGCATGACCACACACATATAAATAAAATAGCTGCATCCATTTAGTAGCACTTGAAAAATGAAAGAATATAGTCCTTTTCTATTTACATACCAGTCAGGTCCAGACCAGCTTGGATTACCTAAGTTCATTACTTTGATGTTCTTTAAGTCAAGTTAAAAAGACACCCTCTTTATGATTTTTGCATGGTTGCCCAACAATTTCAGTATTTTTTCATCCCTTTGGCTATAAGCCCATCTTGAAAGTTTCAACTTATCAATGCTTTGACATAATCATACCAAACTTCATAATCCCAAGAATAGTTTTATAGATATGGAATAATAGTTAACCAAGTAAGTCCCCTGGAGATAACTTTTTTTTTCTGTGAAAGTTAGGCATGCTTCCCTTGCCATTCCTCCTCTCCCCCACCCCCTCTCACTTTCTTAAATTTTTATTGGAGCTATTTTACAGGGTTGTTCTAAAAAATGCTAACACAATTGAAGGCAACCATTGCACAGCAAGCAAGATGATACCTTGAAGAATTCCAAAGGCCTCAAGAAGTATTTCTAGGACCCCTTCCTTTCATACGTGTAGGTCTTTCAGATTGGCCATGAGTTCTTCATCTACCCTAACCAGAAATGGTAAGACCTTGACAGGACTAATGGTAAATAGCCTCTATATGTTCATTGCAGACCTATTTTATATCATGTTTCAGACACAAAGACAATCCTGCTTGAGATGAACTTTTGGAATAGAAGGCAAGCTGATTGGCTGAAAGTAGCCAATGAGCAATCAGTGGCACAGATGATGGCAGGACAGAAGTATGAAGTTTCCAATCTTCCTGCAAGATGCATTATTTTTTCCCCCATCAGTACAAACAGGTTTTATACATAATTTGCTCCACCCTGCAGGGGTTCACATTCTAGGAAACTTTACTTGAGCTATGTTGCCTCCAACCTTCTTCATCCATTTGACACAATAAATAAAGTACCAAGTATAGTTGAAGACAACAGAAGTGTTGGTACTTTTTGCGGGCATCAGGAGAAGTCTTGATTCCCCACAACACATATGGCCAGAGAGTTCGAAGGCAAATTGAGGCATTCTCACCACATACATTGTGAGGGTTACATGCACATAGGTAGCCAGAATTATACCAAATTTATGCACACAAATTTATGATAACAATGACCACCAAAAGCTACAAGCTGGCTATGGAGGGAAACTCTCAAGTAGCAGGTTTCCCTAACTGGAAACAATATACACCCTGAATATGTCACTGCTTTGCTGATATACCTACTCCAGTATATCACAACAAATATACTGGAGTTTCTAACATATACTGTAAATGAGTGAAGCCAAAGAATATGAAGTTTTCATTGGTCACTAAGCCTGACTCATGAAGACCCCAGGAAATATACAGGCCAACTACTGAAGTGGATGAAAAGAATTAATGAAGTCCAATCAAGCTCTATAGTTCAATTGCCTTGAATGAGCATTTCCCTAATCTTCATGCTTTTTTTACTTCTCATCTCGGATGAATCTGGTTCTAATTGAAAGGAGTTAGGTATCCTTTAGGTGTTCCAAAGATCTTGGCCAGTTCTTCATCACTTTTTGACATTGCAGAAACTAACTGGAAGTCTTGAAAATAAAACTGCGATATTTCATCTGGAAGCCTTTCTCAACTTGCATACATAGGGAATTTATAATTAAAAAAAGATGTTCAGGTTTGATTCTGAAAACTGTTGAGGCATGAAAAGTGACCTCAATGACCTCAGCAAAAAAGATATATAACAGGTTATTGAAAAACAGAGATGAGTGAAGATATCTAAGTCAGAATTTTGAGTAAATGCTCTGAAGAATCCACATGAAGATAGGAATCCAATAGAAGACTTGTACTGTAGTTGCATGTTTCAAGATGCCAAGACAAAAGACCAAGGGTTAGTATGCTAAGCAGGCATTGCACCAGTGAAAGTGTTAGTGTGTGTCATGACATGGGGAGTCTTCAAAGCATGGTTCGAATGCACTCATATAATCATATCATTACCACCTTGGCACAAAGAAGTCAGAAGCAGGCAAAAGAGACAGATGAAGGACACAGCTTGGCATGCAAGAGTACTGCCCAATAAAAAATAGTTAAGCCTCTGGCTGCTTGGAATTCCCATGAATTCTCATTTTCAGCAATCACTTTGATAAACTGGGAAGGAATATGAGGGGTATTGTGCAGGAGAAAGCATGGAAAGAGTGAAAAGGAGATAGATAATTTGGAAATGCTCAAGCATGCCACTTTCGAACCTTGCTTTAGAAAAATCCCCATCAGGAATCAAAGAAAGCTGATTGCCATTGGATTAACTACTTTTATTGGGCTTTCTGGATCCTAAAGAAGTTCTGTGCACACCTAAAATTAAAAGAATGGAGTCATATAAGATGCGAATAAATCACAATGGTAGTGGGATCAAGAGTGACTAGTCAACAGCAAATTGCTATGAAGATAATGCAGATGAAAAGGCAGGTAAATTGCATCAGCATGGTACAAAGTTTTTACAAAATGGATTCACATTTCACAGGAAAGGAATCAAAGGGTGACAGAGAAGAAAACTGATTTCAGCTTAATTGCTCAAGTTTGAGAATGGAATATATATAGCATTTAGTGCCTCCAATATGGATTGGGATTTCCGATTCCTGACATTGCCATCCTTAAAGCCAAGACCAAATGAGTTGTTCATTCTACTTATTGAAACTGCACAAATGGAGAGCAAAATTATATCCCTCAAGACCTCCCCTGCAGAGACAAAGATGGGAACTCAGGGGAATCTGAGAGGATCATGAGAGGTGATTCCAAGTCTCACTCAACATGTGCATGTATGTGTGCAGATCCATATAAAACCACACAAAATCACGACTATATTGAATTGATTGCTCAACTCATGCCCAACCTCCCTCCCCCCATCTCCTAGAAATTCCTTCCCAGGAACTTTGACAGAAAGCTTGCACTTGGAACTCTTAGCATCAATGATTTATATGCAAACCAGGGAATGACAGGAATCCCAACTCCAAGCAAAAGATTACAAATCCCAAAACCTGGCTGCTCCCTAAAATAACAGGACACTGTTGCAATGTCACATGGCACAAAGTGACCACTCACCACAATCAACTTGATTGTCAAAGGCAGAAAAACAACCACCTTCATCTCACTGAGTGCAAAAAATTATGCTACAAAAAATATGCAACTGTTGATGACAATGATCTTTCCCTCTGGATTACTTTGAGGCCTGGAGAACTGATTTTTTTCAATGAAAAGGAGAACTTGATTAATGGTGCTAGAGAATGTGTCAATTTTTCCCCTTTTTATTGAATGCATCTAATGCAAATGTGGAATATCATAATTTCCTTCTCTTATAATAGTCTGATTGGTCAAATCAATCCATTCAAAAGCACAGCATACATTCTACATTCTACAAGTTCATGTTGACATCCATTATGAAGCTGAATCTGAGGGGAATTGTAGCACTGTTGTGCCATGTGACACTATCATGCCTCCTTTGCATCCCTCTTTCCTGTTATCCTAGCTCACTTCCATTAAACACAGAGGCTCAGAATGATTTATTTAACTTATTATTGAAACTGATAACTATTCAAGGGCATTTTGAGGTCATTCCACCTTTAATTTTGCAAGGGAAGAGTTATTCAAGCTTCACTTGTTCTTCCAACTCTGTTACACAAGCAATTCATGTTCCTCATAACATCTAATGAGGCACCATCTTCAAGAGCTTTGATGTGTCTACTGATGTGAAACAGCCAAACAATAACAATTTTGAATTGAGTCTATCCAGCTTTAAAAGAGAATGGAAGCACTTCTTTAAAAAAAATTGAAGCATTTTGGAAAAAGGCATAAGAATATGCATAAAGCACATATAACCTTCAACTGAGGACTGGGCTGTGTATGGTGAGCAAATGGAATGGAAAATGAGGAAATGATCATGAGTGAATGGTAACAAAGTGATAGGAAACTCAAGCAAAAGAACAGAAGGGTTAGGAGCAGCATGCAGAACAGATAAGAAAGTTGTCAATGAAAGTCTGTAAAGCAGGATCTGGACTATTCACAGCAATAAAACTACACAGATAATGGCAAGTCATGAACAGATACACATGAGAGAAACTGGTCCACAAGTAAACCTTAGGATCACAATTAGTTGTACCAAATTTTCAATCATCTCATGTTTAGGACTTATTTTTTCCATGGAAAAACTTGTGACTTGACTCATCAGACTCCTTTGGAAGCTTGAAGGATTTTCCCAGACCTTCAGCCATTCATGTTTTGCATGATGGTCTTTTAGGCACAGAAAGCCTGGTTTTACACCTCCCATCACCAAAGAAGAGAGAATCGTTTCTTCTTTGGAACATCATTGATGGGGATCTTTTTTGGATCCCCCCCACTAGTGGAGGGTCCAGGTTGGGGATCTTTAGTTCGTTTTCGCGGTCGCATGAATTTTACCTGAAGTCCCACTTTGATCTTCTTGGTCAGGGCACCCTGTGGGAAGACAGCTTGGACCTGTGGGACGACAGTTGAGGATACGATCCCACCCTCAGGCCCAATGGCATGGATCTCTTGCCTCACACGGGATACAATCGCAAAGTACTGTGGGAAGTCGGTGGTGAGGATGCGTGTGATCCGGTTTGTATTCAGATCTTCCAATGCCGCCAATTCTATGACAAAAATGAATGTAATTCCATGCTGTCAATAAAAAGAATCCCTTCTTGACTGATCCTTGCAAGCAATGACACTGTCAGAAGTCAAATCACAAACACTAACCAAGAGAGCTGCTATTTGATCAGCACAGACTACACAAACAGAACTTGCATTTGGACCAGAGAAAATCTTATAATCTTTCAGCTGAATCAATTTTGATCAATGAAAGCATTCCTTTCATTTCACCTGTGAGATTTTTCCCTTTCATGAAAAAAAGGGAAGACATACCTTCACCATCAAAGGAATCATTCAGCACCTCCTGGACAGCCTCTTCAGAAGCCTCAAGAGAGTGCTCTTTCCATGTTTCGCCATTATCAGAGCGAAGGATTGTGATTTCCCTCTCTCGTCCCCGCAGGGAAGCAAAATGAGGAACTTCAATTATCACCGGCCTGGAGACATTCAAGAAAAGGAAGATTATGTGCAACACTACTTCTGCAAGAAAGGCAAGGTTTTCATAAAATTCTTAGAATCAATGTCCATGATTTTTCCAGATTTGTAGGTAGGGCAAGACCAGTTCAATACTTCAGGCCCACACTGTCTAACAATGCTGGGTGTTGAGAAAAAAAATCACCACTGTTAGAATTTGTATATCAAGAAACCAGTCATTGATACATTAATACAGGGGTTCTCAAACTGGAGGGCATGACAGGTCATGAGAGTTTTTTTTTTATCAATTAAAATGTAGAATTTAGAAAACGATGTCTCCTATGGAATAATATTTTATAATATTTTTTTTTTTACAAGAAAAAGGTCACATTCCTTCAGGTCTTTCTTGCTCTTTCTCTAGGAGTACAAGACTAAATGAAAGCTATTCCAGAGGGCTGGCATTTAAATTCCATTCTTTTTTTTTCAATGGGTGTTCATTTCCATTGGCAATTTCCACTTATTTGAATGACGATGACAAATGGATCGTGCGTCTCTTTGGGCTGTAACTTGAATACTCTATGAATGTAGCATGCACTCTTGTCTAAATAACTTAAACGCTCAAATAAACTCAAAGACAGAGAAGAGCTGGGTTCCCCAGGCAGAGCAAAACTTCCAGACATTTTTGTCAGGTCCTTGAAAATTCTCCTCCCATATGCCTCACTTAGTACAAAAATTTGGTGTCATTTCAATGTTGAAAAAGAGACTTGTGCTGTCATTGCTACAGTCCAGTCTAAAATTAATCATTTGTGAGCCCAGAAGCATGTGAGCATCATTCTCATTAAATTAGGCAAATGATCACCTGATTCCTAGCTGTGACCCATTCCCTGAACCGTTGCAATCTGTTTAATATTTTTCCATTCATTGTATGAAAAAATACCTTTGGGATTATCTCAATTTCTAGGTACTGCTCTCAGAGGGAAAGGGGCATGACGTTGAGCCAGGGTAGCTAGGGGGGATGCAGCATAAAAAGTTTGAGAACCGCTGCAGCAATGCATGTTTCAGGATACATGCATCTAAGTCTTTTCTTCTATAAGAAGACAAGAAAATTTTCAGAATTTTTTTGGTTTAGTCACAGAAGCATTTTGAAAGTTGTGTGCACAATTGTTTTATATTCCCACCCATTGTGGGCCTCATGCTGAATAAGGGTTGCCAGTATGCCTGATTGCATTCACTTCAGCTTATCTTTTGTGCTAGTTGCAATCATGAATTTGTCTTAGGAATACAGAGCAGCAATGAGGAGTGCTTTCTGGATGAAAGTGTGTACTGACTTAACAGAAAGAGTGATTTTTCAATTAAAACAGCAACTGAATGATGCTGTCCAGATGAAAGGCTATCCCTTTCTTTGTTCATCCATTTCAGTAAGTCTCTGAGTACCAGTAGGGATTTTCAGATATTTTACAAGTGAATTTTAAAGTGCTTGTTTGGCTAAACAAGCTCATGGAAATTTATCAAAGATTTTTAAATAATAGAAAACCTGCAGAGGTATATCATGTGGAACAAGCAGCCAGTAGCTTCTATCACCTTTCAGATATAAGCATTTCAACAACAGTGTGTTTTTTTTCTCTGCACCAGGTATTTCAATTCCAATAATATTGGACACATTGTCCAATAATATTTCATTGCCATTACATTTCAAAGGATAAAATGTCCCAATTTACCAAAATTAGAGCAGCAAAGTAAGCTAAAGGCTTACCAGAGGTAGACCATGTATCCCAGCAAAAAAATGCATTGACAATCACAGAAATTTCCCCTTCATAATGTCTGAAGAAGCAGTTAAAATGCTGCATATTGAGCACTGGAACCTTGTCAATTCATTCCTTAGCATCCAAGGATTTGTTCTTTTAATGTGACTAAACTTCATTACAGGTCAAAAACTATTGTAAAATAAAAAAAGCACCTACCTAGTTATCTGGCAGTAACTCAAGCAAGGCTTTCACAACCAAAGTAAGATGGAACATAAATCACTATTCCAATGAGTTATTTCTGGTAGGTGCTTGGGAGTAATTTAGTAGTAAATTGGGAGTAACTTCCCTCACTTGTAGATACCATGACAATTTTCCAATTTTCCCCAAATTTTTTATCAGTGTAACCACAAAAAATTGATGAGAAAGAACTGACCCAAGAAATCTAGCACTGGCAGGGCCCATTTCCAAGATGCGACTACAGAGGGCTTCTCCTTCCATGAGTGGAGGGGGATGGACCAACTTGTCCTTCTTCAGGTAGCGACATGTTATGCGCATTGGCATTGGGGCTTTTCTTGGTGGAATGATCACTCGAACTCCTGAGTGACGACATCCTCGCATTGCTCCACCTCGTGCATCCACCATGAAGCTCACCAGGAATCTAATTATCCCATGAACACCAAACTCATCTCCTCATATCCCTTTCATATTGCTCTGAGAAATGAAACAAATGGTTGACTCTGGCAAGCCTAGATCCTGTTAGTGAGGTGGCATGCTTCCCTTTCAGCCAATTGGCATTTAATAATGACCATCATATTGGGCTCTGATCTAAAATGCAGATGACTAATTCTTCACATGCAGTTGGCATTCAACAAGTACACCCCCAACAGCACACATCAAAAGATACTTCACCTGAAGGGCAAGTAGACCATCATACAAATTCAAAAGGATAACCAACCAAATAACAGCCCCATACAAGGAGTACTCATACTCACACTGACTTTATATCTCTCAAGCCAGTGGTGACAGGGCTTAGAAAGTTTCACATGTATCAATTCGGCAAGTTTTCTCACATTAAATCAATTTTATTTTAGACTTATTTCACAAATTTAAAATCTGCTTCTGTGATACCCTTTAATGAACTTAAAGAAAAAAGAGCAAAAGTACAAGATTTAGTGAAACTTGCCAAGTCTGCACCTGGACTTTTGCTTTTTAGACTCAAGATGGTGGATATGAACTGATGTCTCATTGAAATGTTTCTGATGCCAAGATGAGCAAGAGTCAGCTGAAGATGATGCAAGGGAACCCAGCCTCAAACAAATCATGTTGCTCTCGCTGATGAGTTGCGTGAAATCAACTATCCAATCATAGTTGGAGCTTTAATGGAAGAATTGGGAATCTCTTCCAGATAAGCTTTTGAAGTACACAGAAGATCTTAAATACAGAAAAGGTTGCACAAACTAGGCCACTAAGCTGCTATTTGAAGAACAGCAAAACAATGTAAACAACAAAACATTTGTTTCTCATGGAAAGTAAATTTGAACCACATGAGCAATGGAAACCTCTCATTACAAGCTATCACTTGCAATGAATCATGGCATAATTGATACAATCCCAAAATTAATATTTAAAAAACCATTGGTCAGCAGGAACTGCCATGGTTTCACCAATAATAGCAAAACTGTCAAGTCAACAAAAAAGGTAATGCATCTGATATTTTTCAACCACCTGGGAAGGTCTACTACCCTATTGCTTCTCATGCTTATACTGTCACTGGTGCCTATATACAGGGTGACACAAATGTTCTGTACACTCAGTTTTTTCAACATTTTACAACTTCTTTAAGCAGCTAACAAACAGGGATTAGAACATTAGAAAGTACAACTACCGGTATTTCCACAGATAATACCAGCAAAATCACTCAAAATGGCCATTTTTTGCTCCCACACAATCACGAAGTTATTTTGGAAATGCATCGACAGCAGCATGCAGAGTTTCTTGGGAGATTTTTAGCCATTCCGTTTGAAGGGTACACCTCAATGACTCGACCAATGCATGTGGAGTAGCACAGGCTTTGTTCTCCAAGATACTCCACACAGGAAAGTCCAAAGTCAGGTCAGGATGGTACGGAGGCCATTCTGCCGAGGTGATGACGTCAAGAAATTCTTATTTGCAGAAGGTCTAAGTGATCTTTGCCTTGTGGGCTAGTGCAGAGCCCTGTTGAAAAGTCAATTTACAATTCCCAAAGTGCTGTTAGACCCAGGGCTTTACAGTGCCCTCCAGGATGAGGTCACGGTAGACAGTTGCATTCATCTTTGTGCCGGAAGGCACAAAAACCAGTGGTGTGCGCCCATATGGAGTGATACTGGCCCACACCATCACAGAAGCTGGCATCTGCGTATGAGTAACATGATAGACATCTGGAGAGATGCCTAATGACTCTACTGCCCACACTCGGTCATTTTGAGAGTTAAGGGATTGCTCGATTGTGAAGAATTTTACGTCAGAAAAGAGGATATTGCGACAGCCACCATCTGCGAACTGATGGAGCAGCGACTGCGTTCGTTGCAGCTAAGTCTTCTTCACTTGTTCCATGAGAAATTGAGCATTATGGAGCTTCAAAGGTGAGAGATTCAGCTTGTTCTCGACCACTCACCAGAGCAATTCACGATTTATCTTCATCATTTGGACCATTTTTCTCTGCGATTGCTTCAGATTGCGACAAAGTTGAGATTGAACTCTTTTGATGTTTGCAGTGGTTGACACAGACTTCAGTTGACCTGATCAATGATGATCCCGGGTAGAGTTTGTCTCAAAGAACAGCTTGATAGTACATTTTATGATGTTCTGGTTGTAGCCTTTATTTTGGAACAGCCGGAAGATCTCAGAGGGAGACTTCCCAGCTTCATGCAAACTAATAACAGCAGACTGATGATCTTTATTGGACGATGACATGAAAAACTAATAGGGGTTCACAAAATGCTGATGAAACTAAGTCCCTCGTACCATTAGCTTTATATAGAAACCAAACCAAACATGTTGGAACATGTTAGCTCAGAACCAACAACAGTTTTTTAAGGTGTACAGAACTTTTGTGTCACCCTTTAATACAAACTTTCTTTCCAATTTAATTTCAGATTAATTCCTGAGGGAAAGTATTTTCTATTTTCTACTTAAAAAATTCATTTCTATTCTATTTCCATTTCAGTTAGGCATATCAAAGTCCCCACTACTGAGGCCTGGGCAGCAAAACCTAAGAAATAATTTTTCATCTCTATCACAACCTAAATGCCATAGGTTTCCCATGCAAATTTCAGAAGTTAAAGTCTCATCATACAATATTATTTTAACATCACAGACCAAGAAAGTATGATGCTCTCAGTCCACTGCCTTAAAAAAAGTCAGCAATTATAAAAATTGTTATTGATAGAATATAGCATGTTCGCTGGAACATAGGAAATGTAAAGGATGTATCTTGGAGAGAATAAATTAAATGAAAATGAAAGAGAAGCAGTCCTCACAGGATGCCTATGTTGCACAATTATGCACAATGGAGGCAGGTATGTACAAGGTAAATAAAAAATGAAGGTTGGGAAGCATGAAGAACAACTATTTTTCTCAAGGATTGTTCCATGGAAAAGGGGTCCATTGATGAGACTTTAGCTGGAATCCAACAGTCACAACTTTACCATCACTGAACTTCATGAACCACTCATAACCACAGAAATTTTAAGCTACCTATTTCCTACAAAAAGACATAACAAGAATGCCTGATTTTACTCCAAGACCTGTGGGGGTACCACAGGTTGGAAGATCTGACTAGGGCATTCCCATATGCTGGTGAAGTGCTTCCCTTTTCAATATATGGATACAATTACTTCACTTCATGCTTGGCACCACATGGATGTATCTAACAACAGGCCCCTGTTGACTATCCCAATATTACCAATTCCAATATTTTCCACATGAATTCTGCTATGCATGGTTTAGCATGTATGATACATGTCTCCAGCTCAATCAGGCCAACCTGAAGAAGCAATATATCTTCACAAAATTTTTTAAAGGATGACCTGATCAAATTCAATGAACCAGTTTTCAAACAGTGAAAGAGCTCAAGAATGCCCCAAGATGAAGCAAGCAGAATATAGATCAGGAAATTATTCAAAGAGAAGCAAAGAGAAAGATGTAGACCTTGGAATCAAGCCAAAGAGAAGCCTAGAAGAAAGGTGCACCTGCAGCAAAAAAGCACAAGTGGAAGGGTGGAAATAAAAGGTGAAAATAAGAACTTTGTTCACCAAAAAAAAAATAAGTGAAGCAGAAATTTGAGGCATGGCATGAGGAACTTACGTCCTCCATTGGAGCTTCTGACTGCGGATGCATGGGAAGGAAACAAAGAAAAATATACAGTGATTGTGTGTCAGCAAGATCATGGAGATCCCTTAGATGAATCATGCACTTCACTCATGATGCCATAATACCCTCATTGATATAAAAAGTGATTCCAAGGGCTTTATAAATGCATACATGATGGAAAATTGCTATCCCAAGCACATTCAAGAAAAAATGGAACCCCCACATGGACACAAAAGAATGAATTTGCAGTATCTCTGCAGGGAATTCTTATCCCACCACAACATTTGCAACAATTATTTAAAAAAATATGCCCAACTTTGGAGGTCTCAAAGGGATTCTTTTCTTTTCATAGGTAAGTATTGCATGCTCTGACAATGCTAGGAATTGCGATCAAGCTCATTCACATATTTGCAAACACCTCATTCTCATTTCCTCCTCCAACATAAGCTAGCACCTAGAAGCTGCATCAGGGCAAAACAGTATCTCATTGTAGCCTTCACACTGAATTTCCTCATGTAGGCCAAATGATTTTTTTCGTGGCTTCTGACTGCTAGGCTCATAAAGTTAGCTTTTTATTAGTCAGTTTCCATAGCAAAAACATTCCTCATTCCTTGAGAATCTTTAGAAGGGGATTACACTTAAAATTCACAAGCCATCCTCAGTCCTAGTCACTCCCATATCCTGAAATGCATATCTAACATATGAATCCTACAGGTTTTATGCTGTAATAGTTTACTGCCCTTTATAGTTTTGCTTGACAGAAGACCTGTTTATGTCAGGATTATCAAACCCAAAATTCAAGTTAGAGAGACTAGGGCTGCTTGGATGGCTGGCAATTAGTGACATGTGAGTCAATTAGAGAGCAGATGAGTCAAGATCAAGATCAAGATGAAGGTTAAGGTTAAGGTCAAGTTCAAGGTCATAGACAGCTGGTTAAAAAATTAATCCAATTCCAAGAGGCACCATGGATCACCTGTTACGCCACATCCCCGATTGCCCCGAACTGGCACTGTGTAAACTCGTAACACTAATCCCACTGTGAAAAACAAAAGACACAAGAAGAACCACAATGGATATATCCACCACCATAACAATCATTCACATCCTGTACACTCTGCAATTAATATTTCCTGAACCAAATTTCCATTCACTAATTTGCAGATTCCATACCCAAGTATTCATATCATGTACATCTTCCCAAGCCAAATGCATTTCCCATTAATAACGCATCCCATCTTTTCCATCACCAGGATTCACCACATACCCAAACCACTATACATTATTAAGCCCATAAGGGATGAGCATGCCAACAAGAAAAAGAATCTAGATCCAACAGGCCATCCTCCATCATGTCTCTCAGATCCTCCAGGCTCCTTATACATTTCTAAAGTTCCATATCATATGCGTGGTTCGGAGGACAGACCTTTTTTGTTTAAATTGGATAACAAAATATCAATTCTTCTTTTGTGAAAGCCCTTCCAAGAAATTCTATAGATATTCCTTTCCTAGTCATGTAAAGTTTTCATTAAAATGATTACAGTAGAGAAAATCCTACACAACACAAAGATATCCCAGAGATGTCCCCAATTGGATGATTCATTACATCTTCAAAAGATATCCTAAAGACATCTTCAGCTTAATGCTTCTCAAAAGGGGTAGGTATGTCTTCTTGATATCTTCTCTCAAATACTTTTCAATATCCCAAATAGAATGCCTTTAAGGCATCTTCAATAGAGCACTTTTTGATATCCCAAGAAAGATGTCCTCACAAGACCTTATAGTTGTACATGCCATCACAGTCCGAAGATATCCCAGAATATCCATTGCCATATTACCTATTTGTGTCATGACATAAGACACTTCACCTTGAATGCTTCTCCATCTCCTTAGATGAGATGTCTTGGAAACATTGTCCTATTGCAAGTAATAAAATTTTTCATACAGCAAGAAAATAGATCCTTCTTAATGAGAAAGTGTCATCCTTGGGATATCCCCATACCTAGTCATTTTTATGACCTTGTGATATCCCTGTAAGTTATCTCTTGAACTTCTAACTAAAACTTGGGTGACATCTCTGGGATATCTTTGGAATGTACTTGGGCTGTGTGGGATCAAATAGCAATAAACAATATCATCAATGTTTCCTTTTTCAAAACTATTATGGTAAATGGTCAACTCATATGCTCCAATCCTTTTATCATGAAATAATATCCCTCCTGACTAGGACTACACTTCACCAATTCATGTCTCCACAGAAAATACACCAAATGCATGAGGACTGAAAATAGACTTTTGGCAGGGAGAATGTTGACATACCCAGAAACAACAGGCTGATGAGAGATCTCTATGTTATCGGGAGCAAACTCTCCTGCATTGAATTGTGCGTAGGACTCCTTCATCTTGGACGGACTGATCTGGTCCTCAATATGCACTGCACAGAAAGATACCATCACAGAGGGGGAAGGGTTTTCATGGTGACAAATGAAGCACAAAATGAATCTCAGTTGAGACAGTTGACAAGCCACAGGCTTCAATGTAAAGCATATGCAGACTGGTGGGATGTAAACAAACAGGGTTGTCCCACTGAATTCCATCCCCTCAACCTCCAATATTGAAGATCAAAGGAAAAAAAGTGGGTCATGAACTGGAGAATCACAATAGGTGACATTCTTTCTTCAGTTTTGCTGATCATATGATTGTAATCAATTAAGTCCATTACATGCTAGCATCAATGAAGTTAGTTACCCAATAACAGTGACACAAGTGTGAACTTGAACTTGAAAGCCATGAAATGACATGCAAGATGACCTCAATGTCAACATGCAAGTCCCCATCCTTGTAGGCACTTTGGACATCAGCACCCATTCATTTCATTCATTCATTTCTACAAAAATAAATGTTTCCAGCTAATCCAAGTTTTCCACTTCAACTCACACTTAGACATACAATCGAAGTCTTCCCCATAACCATACACTACCATCACTTCATCCTCCTGAGACAGTTCATGCAATTTTTTCCCTCTTCCTGGACTCTTTCAACTTCATATTTTTTCCTTTGACTTTTCAACATTTGTAGTAACCTTGAATCAATGAATGAGATAGAAGGAAAAGGAATGGAATACACATACACTCCCTGTCCATGGAGAAATCCATGTGTTCATCCCTGGTGACATCCATGTGAAAGGAATCATCAGCCAGGCTTTTCATCTCATCCATTGTCAAGTAGCGATATGAGGAGTCTCCCATTGTCCCCTCTTCCCCTGTACAGGTAAACATAACATCACTATAAGTGAGCCGCATATCTCCTTTACAGTCATCACCACCTATTGTGATCATGGATATAGTGATCAGCCACTTTTTGTGACCAATTCCTACAAGCACAGTCAGGACCTCTCAGAAGCTCAGGACCATTCCCATGTAATTTCCACAAGGGGACTGATTTGTGCCTCTTACCCTGTTAAATAATCACTTCAACATTGGCTTGTGTAGTAAATTACCATCACACAGTATGTCCAAAATGTCAAGGACAGATTTTAAAAACCTTCACTTTAAAAGTAGGCATTATTGGTACTAAATAATCATATCAATTAATGGATTAATTCAAAAAGTTTGTGCTCCACTTGTTTTGGATAAGCCAGTTTGACTGAATTTCAGTGATTTTTTTAAATAGCAAATGTGCAGGAAAAAAAGACAAGTGTGTTCTATTGAGTACAAAATGGGATTGTCTGTGGGAAATGGCATTCTCATGGCCAACCTGGTCTCCTGATATGACTCATTTGGACTTTTTCTTTGGGGTTATATCAAGGTTGTGGTCTACAAAATGAAGTTGGAGTCTTTGGAACACCTCAAAGAATGCATCACAGCAGCTGTGGGAAGTGTAACCCAGGATCAGCTCACAGAAACCTGAGTTGACATCAGCAGGAGGGCTGATTTGTACGTCATCATGAATGCGGCAAAATATACTTTTTGAGTTGGACTTACAGTGTGGATTGTTTTCATATTGCTAAGTTGCATCATATTTACCCTTTGAGAAGTAATGCTCATAAATATACATTTTCAAAATTTTCAATTTCAAGTTTTGTGTAAATTACCTCTTTTTGTGTCCTCTGCATTTTTTGCCTTTCAAGCACTACAATAAACTATTATCTCACACATTATGATCAAAAGCTTTCAAGATATATAGCAGTGAGGGACCTCAATTAATTTTTTTCAAAACACCCAAGGAATACAAAGAAAAAAGATAAAGAAAGAAAATAGGTTTCCTTGTCTGTTCATGACTTTTCAAACACCCTGTATTTATCAACCTCTATGCTCCATAAAAATGCAAAACATTCCTCACCCCCTCACACCCCCTCACATCCCCTCACCCAAAATTCAGTTAGTTCTGAGACGTTCAAAAATGAAGAGAAAAGCTTTGAAAAAAGAATATGAAAGGAGAGATGCTTCAGCACTTTGATAAGCTGGCAAACATGGGACTGAGAGAGGCAGTCAAAAACCCAGGGCCGTATCTAGGATTTCATTTCAGGGGGGGGGGGGGTTGAGGCCTGGCGTACGTGCTGTGGCTATTTTTTTTATACTTGTCATTGTAAATCTTTGTGACATATCTGGACTTTCCTGTAAGTTGCAGTGTTTAATAAGTCACAAGCTATTAAATATAGAAAGGACCAAGTACTGCACCGTTGACACCTACAAATAGCAGTATGGCAAACATTTAAGGAAGATATTTTGGGGGGGGGGGTTTGAACCCCCCCCCTAAATACGGCCTTGCAAAAACCTTGAAATCCCTCAATCCTCATTTCACAAACTTGGCATCTGATAGAGTGCAATAAGCTGCTAATAGCAATCATTTTGAACCTGACCCAAAGTGGTCACATGTACCCACTACTGTAATCCCATCATACATGTTCCATGTTATAATCTCCCTTGGTTAAACAAATTCCACTCTTCAAGAAACTCTGAAATTTTTTGGGAGAGAAAAAATTAGCTCGCACAAAGGAAGAGAATAGGGTGAGTGCTGCAAATGTCAGCACTGGGGGCTATCTTGGCATTTAGTGATTGTTAACCTTCTGCTTCCACTATCAGTCCCCTAGGTAAGGGGAGAAATTCATTCTTAGATGGCAAAACTAATGTTGCTGACGTTCTTGGAAGCGTCTTATTTGCTGTTGTAGTTTTCACGCAGTGGCTGCCTTCTTCAAGTGCACTCTGAAAATGCTGTGAAATCTTGTAATTTTGCTAAGCTTTACACATTCCTGTTCTCTTCCACACAAGATATTAGTTCATTGCATTAATTCTTGAGTCCATTGGAAATGACAGTGATACTTAGGTGTGCTGAGATTCCAGACAGGGTGGTACCAACTATGCCAGCTAGTGTGCCAAAATTCCCAACATCTGAAACAACTTTGCCTTTGACCCAGGCCCTCAGGAAGGAAAGGCTCAGGGCACTCAAGGTGTATGGTACAAAGAGGTATATAATAGAGGTATGACCCAACCCAGCATGAACAAGGAAGCTCCATTACAGAAACAAACAGACAAAGTGGAAGTGAAAACTTTGCTAAAAGTGCCAACATTCCCAACACTCACCCTGTTCTATTTCTATATTGTGCCTATGAATAAGAATGGCATTGCTATCTGACCACTTCTGGACATCCTTTGGAGCTAGTGATACTTGAAGTACAATCTATGGGCCACAAGTGGCCCAGCAGTTCTTAAAATGAATAGAATTAATACTTTTGCTCTGGAGGGTCGGTAACTGAGGTTATTTAGAGGTCTACCAAAAAATTCATAACTTCAGAACACTTTAAAAAAAACACTTTAAACTCAAGTGTTAAACTTTGGAATTATGAACAGTCTTTTCCATAGACTTTCACACCAGCTGTATATTGCAGCAAAAGAATGGAGAAATACTCTGAAAATCTTCCAGAATAATTCATACAAATTGCATAATGTTTTGTACTGCCTCCTGCCATTTCATTTCAGGAAGAGTATGAAAGATTATGCAATGCATGAAATTCAATTTGAGAGAGGTATGAAGCATTTTGTCATAAGTGCCTAGCATTCAGCCATGTCTACCAGTCTTACAGAGAAATGCTGTAAGATTTTTTCAATGCAGCTTTTCTGATTTCCCTCTTCTGGAGACCACTTTCAACCTTTTTCTTTACACAGATAGAAGATTAGCAATAAGCCAGAAGAACCACCTGAGAAGCTTTAAAAATTTGCAAAAAAATCATTCTTTCAGTAAGCACTCAATTCCATACTTCAATATATAAGTTTGATTTTTCCCTTCACTTTAGGCAAGATGGCATGCCACATTGGACATCTGAACATAGCATGGTTCCTGCTGGGCCAGGGAAAAGCAGGTACCAAGACCACTAGGGTGGGCTACACTCCACTGCATCAAGTGGTTCAACATGACAACAGATTGAATCTCAACAAATTGGGATGGACTTGGTGGTCATGAAATAATGAAACAGGACACATGCCATGCCATGATAGGAGATTTGTTTCAGCAAAACAAAGTTTTTGCACTGGCACTCTCAGGCTAGAAGTGAAATAACGTTTTTTAACAATAATATTGGAAAATCATTCCATTGACACATCTGGCTAAGAAGACAATCCAAAAAATTAGAGAGAACTCACTAGTGAGAAGCATTTGTCCTTCATAATATGGGAGATAGACGTGTTGAGCATGTGTTGGCTTCCCATACATCCCTTCCATCACATCCTCTCCTGCACCCACAAATTCAAATGTTTTAGCAATTTCGCCATAAAATTAGTCACATTTGGTCCAACTTAAATTGACAATTTCACAATTCCACCAATTTTTATGAGTCCCCAAATAAAAATTAGAGGTTGTGATTTTTACGATATTCTAATAAAATAAAAAAAGGCATTTATTCTTTAACCTTTCATCTAAGTAATAACATTTTAGATCTCTGATTTTTTGTGAATTTCATAAGTATTTGTACAGACGTTTGACAGTAATTCTTTATATAGAAGGAAATGAAAAGCAAATCCCTTTGTCCCTGAAGGCAAAGAAGTTTGCCCAAATCAAAGAAGTTCTGGCCTCAAAAATGGAATTATAATTCAAATATGAATGGCTTGAGAATATAAATAAATAATATATTTTTCATAATATGAAATATTCTGCAGAAGCAGACAAAATTTAAAAGCACATCCAGCACAGCTTATTAGACATCTAATGTAAATATTTGCTAAAAGAATTTAACAGCACATCGACATACCAAAAATGCCTTTCTGCAGTTAACCCTTTCATATGTGTTATATACATTTAACTGTAATATTCAATTCAATTCAATTTCTTCGAAAAAACCAACTTATTAAATATTAAATAAAAGAGCTCTTTGGTGAAAACCAACTACCCAATACAAAGTATGTGATTGGTCAATTGATGGTTGTATGACCACTATGACATTAGATTTAAAAATTTTTGAAACTGTGACTTCATAGCAAAATCACTTAGCTGAAGAGGGTTAAAACTAACAAAAATTGGTCATTTCACTTTCTTTCCTACATGTGACTACAGATGTACTGTTACTATAACAAGAGGATGACTGAATCAAGTTGGGGGGAAAATTCCAATTGCAATTTAGAATTCACTCAGTGGCCAACTTAACATGTGAAATATTTTTCCTGAGGATTTACAATTTATCCTCACCTCCTTCTTCTTCCTCATCTGAGATAAAAGTCTCCTGCATGGTCTCAGGAGCAACAACCCGATACTTTTCCTCTGTGATTGTAGTTGTGGTTGTCGTGACAATGGTCTCCGTTACCACCTTCAACGTCTCCACAACACTGATATAACCAAGCCTCTGGGCAATGCTCAAAGCTGTTTGTCCTTGCTGTAACACCAATGGATACGTTCACTGAGACATTCAATATAGTGCAATTGAGTACCAATACACATTTCTCTGGGTTATCCTTAGAGGCATTTATTAAATTGCCAGGAGTGGAAATGATTAATACTTTACTTCTGGTGTTTAACAGTAATTGCAGTCTATGTAAGATTGAAGGATAAATGGCATGCTTTAGGCCTAATCGATCAATGGTCAAACCATAGGACTATTTCCTTAACATTGTGCAGGAGTTTTTAATTTTAGAAAAGAACAGATTATTACCAGGGCATCTCTTACTTATTCACTGGTCAAAAATCCTCCCCTTTACAGCAAATTAAAAAAAAATTAAGCAAAAGAAATGAAGCCAAAAGCCAAGTTCGAAAAAATGTTTGATGAAACAAAATATGCATAAAAATTGAGACTTCAATTACCATAGGAAAATACATACATACAGTCAAACCTTGATATACCACAACTCAGTCTACCACTTCCCTCACTTACTGTCAGCACTTTCCAAAGACCAAATATTCTCCATATGCCTATTAAAGGTAATCCCCTGTTACAATGCCATTCTTGCAAGCTTCCAACCACTAATATCATAATATGCACTAAGATCCTTTTTCCCACATAAATCCATCTTGATTTTGCAATAAGTAGCATACATGCCAAAATTATTCTTTCATATTAAACACAGCTAAATGTTCATTGCTACTGTGAGAAGCAACTCATTGTCACAGAATTGAAAGCACAAAACAAGTATAGAGAATGAGGAGATAAAGGAAGGAAATATGAGCTACACATCCATTTAGACACATTGACCTTTGGAGCTTCAGTTATCATAGCTATTTGGTTCATTTGATACAGCACCGCTCATGTTATAGCACCAAAATGGGTGACAACCAACAAAGGCATTATAATAAGGGTTAACAGTAGTTTCTAATTAATACAGCTAAAGCAATAAAGAACCTATTGCATTACCAACAGAAGAGCACCATTATTCCTAATTGCATGAGGTGTCAATGAGGCTTATGGAATGACATAGGAGTCCTTGACAAACTCACATTGGTCACAGCATTAGGGGAAGCCTTGTGCTCAAGGAGCAATGTGATGACAAGGGTGTGTCCCTGTTGAGCAGCTTGATGCAGGGGGGTGTAGCCAAGGCTGGTTGTTGTGTTCACCTCTGCTCCATGACTCAGCAGAAACCGCACCATGTTTAGCTGGCCAAAGTGACAGGCCACATGCAGTGGAGTGTAGCCCGCCTATTACAAAAATCAACAAAGCAAGGACAGATGGTGAGATGTGAAATGAAGACCTAACAAATTTCAAGGTTTTGATAAAATTGGCCACCTTAGTCTTGTTGTTGATGTTGGAATTATTCTTGACAAGGATAGCAGCTGCATTGACACGATCTTCTTGAGCACACAAGTGCATTGGTGTCAATCCATTCTGTAATGTGGATAGAAACATTCAACATACTGCAGTGCTTTCTTCCCTTCAGTGAAGACATCCCACCATAAAAAGGACTCAAATTTTAACCTTTGCTTGATAGTCCACATCTGCATTGTTTTCAATGAGAAGTGATGTCATGTCATTGTGGCCTTCCTGGCAGCTAAGATGAAGTGGTGTGAACCCAGCCTTGGACTCAGCATTTGTGTTTGCTCCATACTCTAATAAGGTGGAAGCAATATCCATCTGAAAAGGAACAATGGTTATGAATGAGAATTGCTCAAACAGCACTGATCCAGGCCATAATAATTCATCACAGGAACAAACCTGGTTCTTCTTGGCAGCAATATGAAGGGGGGTATATCCATTTTTGGCTGTGGCATGAGGTGATGCCCCTTTGTCAAGAAGCAAAAGAGCCACATTCTGGTGGTCATAATGGCTTGCTACATGAAGAGGTGTCACGCCATTCTGAAAGCATCACCAAAGAAAGAGGTGAAGCTTTGCAGCCAGAAACATTAGTAAACCATACCACTCTCTCTTTTGAGTGCAGGGCCATCTGAATACCTCTTTCTTATGATAACATATCAAATTCAAACAGCTTCTGAAAAGAAACCAAGGATCCTTAATCCAAATTGAAAACTGACCTTGCCCTGAGCATCAACAGGTGCCTCTTTCTGGAGGAGCAATTTGGCAACTTTTATGTTTCCATATTTGGCTGCCAAGTGGAGAGGTGTGAAGCCTTTCTTTGTTGTCGCACTCAGAGATGCACCATGCTCAAGGAGGACTCCAGCAACCTTTGACATATTCACACAATTTTATATAAACTTTTCAAATGCAAATAAATCCTAATATTTTTTGCTAATAGATTTTCCATTATTTTTCTGTACTGCAATTCACTCATTCACATTTCATTTTTGAAGCTTAAAATATATATATAACTCCCAATAGCCATTGTAAAGTGGAAATGGAATTGGAGTAAATGACTGAGATGATCTTCCAACCCAACAGTGAAATTTTCATGCAAGCAAGAAACTACCTATCTTAACCCTTCTCATTAAATTGTCATTCTGACTTGTAAGCTTTTTAGTGACATAACACTTACAGTACATCACTATGCCAAATATTATGTATAAGAAACTGCTAGAAATTATTGTAAAACAGGAGTGTGCACTAAAAATATCTATGAAAAACTTGGAGAAAATGAAATAATTTTCAGCATTTATGACCTTTCCAACATCACAAACTAATCCTGATAATTTCCATTATTTCAACTTTGCTGGAGAAGTTTCTTCATTACAATGCATGGGAACATTAACACGTTGACGACCAGCCTATTTTTGCTTGTCCGCCGTGTGGGACCACGCGCATTTTTTTTGTCAAAAAAAAAAATGCCCAGAAAACATTTTTTTTGCCGAGTTTTTTTTAAAATGTTGAATTTTTTGGAATTTTTATCAGTAATTACGAAATCATAATCTTCTGGAACGTTCTCAACAGTTCCAGAGGGAATTCNGACTCTCTTGACCTGGAGCCATCCAAGTCTTCTGCCTTCATTGAAAAAAAATCTGCATCCTGGCATCAGGACGCATTGTCGCCAACATGTTAAAAGACACTTTAGACATCACCTTCAGAATTGAGCATTAGGATAGGCTCCCAGAGAACTCCATCAGTGAACCCATTGTAGTACACATACAGAAATACTCGTCACTCGAGAGACACTCGAGAAACACATATTTCCAACATTTCATGTTGGAAATATTGTTTCTGTTCTAAGTTTTCAATATGCACTTCCCAATCGTTACTTTAGGTTGATTCTCGATTGTTTACCGATCATTTACCAAGTAAATTCACTAGATGTCAGCACTTTGTTTGCTTGCAAGAATTTTAATATTCCCAGATTTAACCAATGGTGCGCCATAAAATTCATACTGCAATGGGTTAATCAATAATATGGAACTCTGCAGCTTTATGCTGTGACATTGCTTCTGAAATAAACTCAGAAGAATGAAGTTCATGAGCAGTAAACTTTCCTTTGAAGTCAAGCCATAGCAATTATACCACATGGAAGAGCAATGCAACCTGAAAATCATATAGAGAATATAAATCAACCTAGTCAGATGGAGGGAGAATTAGGAAACCAAGTTCCCAAGCCATGCATATTTAGCATAAATAGGGGCATTTGTCTGTCCTTTTGTTTCTCATGCCTATTACCATTTTCTTATAGTTGCTGCTCCCTCCTTTTTGAATATCAGTGCTCATGGTAACTAGATTGTAGTTCGTAGAGTTCACAAAGACAAACAAGGAATCAACATCAACTTTTACATATTGCAGCATGAAGACAGGAGAGCATGATCCTTCCCTACTTATTCCCCAAGAAATGAAGAAACTTATACATTGAACATTAAAGTTTCTCCTTTGCTTCCCTCTACACACATTGTCACATCACTCTTAACTCCAATATGGTAGGCATTTTACTCCCAAAGAAACTAAATATCCACTATTGTAGTCCACTTCCAATCACCAGGACTTGACCTGCACTTATGCACCTTGCTAACCTACTAAAGCTATTCAGGTGGCTCATATTAGCATTTGTTTGTTCCTTACTTGAAAAAACTTATCAAGAATTTGTCACCAGCCAAAACTTGTACATCCATTCCAGGCTTTGTCACAAGCCAGACCTTATCAACCATACTGCACTGAACTAAATGCCATTCCTTTCCTCCATCTTAATCAAGGTCATCTGCTGAAAACATGCATTCTGTGGCAACATAAGCAATGAGTGATGACAATGCTTTTCCTTGCAAGCAACAACAGCAACAACTTGGTGAAAATTAGACTAAATCTAAATTTTGTGATTGATGACTAAGATTGTCTAGTTTCATTATGATGACAGATATGCCCCAGCTACTTTAGAGGGAAGATAGGGGGTAAATGAAGACAATGAAGGCAGAAGACTTGGATGGCTCCAGGTCAAGAGAGTCCTGATCCCTCCAATGCAACATTAAGACACCATGCCAATTCCTTATTCCCTAATGACCCATTTAGCAGAACTGGCCTCTCAAAGAGTCTCCCTTAAGGATATGAGAATTTATTCTAGAACTGAGAAAAAACAAGTGAAATAAACAAAAGCAAGGCTTTTGCTTTCTGTCATGCTGTTTCAGTGCATCCTGTGGCTTCCATTTGGCAAGAAAGGAAGTTCTGCTATTCTTAGCTTGGCATGGGATTCAGTCTACATGAATGCCATGAAACCAAAAGCACTCAACACCCCTCCCCCCCCCTCCACAAAAAAAAATACTTCAGCACCACCTAGCAGAAAAAATGCCATTAGAAAAATTCAGACATGGTTCTCCCTGAATCTGAGACTCTCCTCTGTTTCCCATTGAGTCATTGGCTTTCAACCTCAATCGTCCATTTTTTCTCCATAAATGCTCACTTTACTCATGGGTTTCTCAGTTCCCTCATAAGTTTGTGGTGTGAAATAAGTGGAAGAAAAGATAAAGGAGAAGAACCAAATTCAAGGAGGAAAAACAAGTTAGACTTTTATTGGATGATGGCAAATAATCCAAAAGAAAAGTAGTATGGTGGTATAAATAAAAGTAGAGTGTGGCAGTGACAGGCAAGATGAAATAAAAGATTAGGCCAATACGTTCAGGTTTCTTCACTTCCACGAATCATTCCAAGATTAAGCTCAACTTGTGAAGACTTCTGATGAATGGTGGCATGGAATGATTTCAATTTATTTTAGCTGGAAGAAAAACGGAAAGAAGGGATGTTCTAGGAAGTCACAGAGCATGGACATGCACTAAAATGGAAGGCACTTTAGACTTCAATATCAGAGGAGAGTCTCAGAGTCCATCTTCTGTCGTAACTGATCATAAATGTATTCAAGCACAACATGTGTCATGAGAGCCCTCATGTCAAGGGACTCTTTGAGAACCTCATTTACCTCTTCTTGATTCTCCTTGGCTGTTATGTGAAGAGCTGTGTAGAGGTCCTTAGTGGTGGCATCCACTGAAGCACCATGTTGCAAGAGCAGTACCACTATGTCCACATTCCCAAGGCGAGCTGCGATGTGCAAAGGTGTCTGCTGTTCCTATATCAAATACCCAAAAATCAATTATTTCATTGGTTCAGCACTCAAGCCACCCATGTACTTAAAGCACTCAGAGTGCCATGAGTCCAAAGCTAATCATTTCATGAATAATACAATTTCAGTAATTGCCATGAATGAAACCCAAATAGCACTTCAACATTTTGAAATATGCAAGGAATGGAGATTTCAACAGGCTCATAATCCCAGCCAATAGTAAACCAGATGTTTCTTGCATTACAAAAGTACAATGTAACTTCTTCATAGTAATTTGGATCATGGAATGGGCCATGCATACAACATGAGTTCAATCAATGTCTTCCAGTCTTTGTTCTTAAGTCAAATTGCATATTGTGCATTGTGAGGACTCAGGAAGCAGATATTATTCCAACCCCCAATAGTAAATGAATAGTACATCTAACTGTTAAAATTCATTCATTTAACTGTGTGCTCTACTGAAACCACTCGTGCCAGAAAAGGAAAAGGAGAGTGGAAAACAGAATTCTCACAATGATGCTTAAATACCAGTTGTTTTTATACAAATGACATGAGCACTTTTAGCCTTCAAGAATTAACTTTAACACATCACACATCCATTGGCATAGATGTTGATTGACGTCTTCATGCTTTCTTCAACCTAATTGCCAATAATTTGAATAGATGGTGTTCATATGCAGTGAAAACATTGAAGCATTACTAAAGATATGTTGAAAAATTCATTCAATTTGCATCAGTATTTTAAGAGATATAGTATTTTTTGCACAGTAACTTGAAAAAAGGCTCAGGGCAGAAAAATGGCAGATACAGGAAGAAAGCTAACACACAAAACTGGCTAGCAGTGAATGTGTCAAAGTGCTTTAAAAAAAGAAAAACACTAATGTATTGTGTCTGTGATACAAAAAATCCATGCTCCTAGCATTTCTATGATCAACTATAGATACATAAAGCATCAAACAGGACACTTTATTGTGTCATCATAAGCAAGCTTAACATTTTCTCAAAAGTCAGCTTAAAGCCAGAATTTCACTAATAATAATGAATTTAGTCTGTACCTTACCTATTCGTATGTACATCCATCAATGTGTATCAGGATACTGAATTCCATAGAAGTAAGGGATAAATGATGTCATTATCATCTGACAAAGGAAATGGGAACACAGACATATGGAAGTACAGACAGATAGTCAAGGACTATGTCTTTCCTTTCTTGGACAGGGGCTAACTAAAAAGTTGACAGATGTAACTCCTACAATTCATTCTCCAGGCAAGGGTAATGATTATTTCTCTTTCTTTCATGAGAATTAGCTCATTCATATTGACAGTAGAAGTTCAGCTGCTAAAAATTAAAAATCAAGAAAACAAAGGTGAATTTTTGGTCCAGGACTTTAGTAATATCTGTTAATGAGTTATATTATTCATGCTGAAATTCTAATGTATGATTGATTACCAGTATCACACAAAAACTGCTTCACAGCATGCACACACTCTGCATAACAATTTCTGAATTGATCTCTCTGACTTTTCCAAGTGTCCTGGGGTTGACTGCTATTAGCATTCTCAAATGCATATGATTTCTTCAAACTATCCCCACTTCTACCACTTAGTTCATGAATTACTGATGACTTAATTTGCCAATTAACGAGACATCTTGAAAACTGTAGTAGTTTCCCATAGTTCCCTCCAGACTTTTGAAGCCCATCTCTATGTTACAGACTGTTCCAGATTCTCCATGCAATTGGTGGGAACCCAACATCTCACACTTGAGAATTACTACTGAGAGCATGCATCTTGGGGTTGTGACTTACCCTGGCTCTGGCATCAACCTGGGCTCCATTCCGAAGGAGGATGCGAATGATGTCTGTTTGATTGGCCCTCGCAGCAAGGTGAAGGGGAGTCTCTCCTCTCACAGTGGGAACATCTGGGCTGGACCCATGTTGCAATAGGTAGATAACAATATTCATGCATCCCATGAATGATGCCACATGCAATGGAGTCAACCCAGACTGCAACAAAGAAAATCAGAAAAAAGACCTCAATCTCAGATTGTGTCTACTAGACATCCACAAAGTTTCAAAAACATTCTTGCATCGTACAACAGCAGCAATCAATGGGGATATTTTTTCCACATTACAGTCTAAATTGCTCATCAGTGGTAATTATTTTCTATCATAAATTGCTCCAAGATGAGAGTGATCTTTTGCAACTTAAGAGAATTTACAGGGTGGACCAAAAATCCCTTTAACTTTACCACACTCAAAGGTTACATTAGGAGCCATCAATTTAACAATTTTCCCAGCCTCACATATTAACTTTTCAGAATAATATCCATCAACTTTTCCACAGCAAAGTAAGCTATCTTATGTTTTTTTTTTTTTGCTAAGTAGAGGTTGTGTCCCTGCAAACCTCTAAAGCAGATTTTTTTAAATAAGTAACTTCAAGGTTTTTTGAAATTTTGGTATCATTGCAGTGAGGTATCAGTGCAGTAGCATGATTATGAATAAATTTTAATCATTTAAATTCAAAGTTAATTGAGTGAAAAACTAAAAAAAAAGCATGCAGTCTTTTCCTACTCCACAAAGCTAAATGGAATCTTTTCCTCATGGTTAAAACATAAATCAGGTATGAAAAGGTTAACATTTATTTCCTTCAAGTATTGGTCCATATGCATCATCTAAGCCCTTTTGATCCACCCATCTGATGTATGTCTTGAAATTATTAACTATATCATGGCTATCAGGAAAAATTGGAGATGTACTAGCTGTAATTTTGAATTTTGGAATTTTTTAGTTACATTTTTCCGATTGGCATTGCTTTTGATTTTGTTAAAGAACCAAAGAGACATGAGCTCACCAGGCATTTCCAGATGACAAATTGAAAAATACAGTGATACTGTGCTGCATCAAGCAGACTCTGTTGTGTACCAAGGACTCATATACTTGAGTAAATACCAAGGCAGCATCAATATGAAATATCAGCCAGGAAGAAAATTAATGGTACTGTGCCTCAAAATTTTCTGGTACCATTACTGATATTATTCTATAAGCTTTGGTAGGTTGCTTTCAGAATCTGTTATTGTGATCATGACATTTGTCTACCCTGGACTGGAAGATAGACTTGAACAGAGCATGAGAAACAGACCTCAGTGGTAGCTTCAATAGATGCACCATGCTTCAAAAGCAATTCCACCACTTTGATGCGATTCTTCTTGCATGCAATGTGCAATGGGGTGAATCCATTGAGGGCCCTTGAGTTGGGATCAGCCTTCCGATCCAGGAGCAGCTTTGCTACACGCACATGCCCACAATGAGCTGCTACATGCAGAGCCGTGAGGTAGTCAACTGTCACATCATCCACTGGGGCCTGAATCAGAATTACCACAGATTTTGATCAATGCACAGGCAACATTACCCATTAAGACAATGAATTCCAATCAGAAAAGGATTCAATCATGCATTCCATAAGGGTAAGCCTTTTGATCCTTTCTGCTTGGTGACATTGTTGAAATCAAATATATCAGATAGTAACCATTCTGAGTAGATGCATTAACAAACATGATCCTTGAAAGAAGCCCATCAACTGCATAGAACTTATCTTGAAACAGTAAATATTTTTTAGTATTTTGGCCTTACTACCAACAAAAATTTGGACTGAGGATATACTGTATATGCTACAATGGAAAGCATTGTCCAAAAGGAGGTATCAATACAAGGATAGTTGATGGCATACTTTCCAGATGAAGGCCAATGGCAAAGAACAGGCATGTTCATAATTACATTGGCACTGCAATGATTTGAATGACTTGAAGAGTTCAAAATAATATAAAATGAAAGGATCAAAGTATCTTCAAAAAATAAGTGTTTTGACCCTCCTATACTTTATTTAGTTGCTAAAAAATTATCTATACTTCACTTAGAGTTAGACCTACATTTATATAGACCTTTTGCTTGTCTCCAGTGAACATATTATTCGAAAAAAAAAGTGCTCAAGAGCACTATTCTCATCCCACAATCCCACATCAAGCAAAATCTTAACTTTTAATGCAAGTGGGATTTTAGCATCAATGTACAACATCCTAATTTTCAAATATAATTTGATAATAAGATGCTTCCACTGGGGCCAGTCATAAGAGAAAAGCCTACCAACAATGACAATAAATAAGCCTCCAGGGCTTGACGATTCCTGTTGCTTGTTGGAGCTTAGAATTAAAAAAAAATGCTACAGTAGTAAAAGCCTTCTTATAATCTCTTTTTAATACCAGTACTGCTACCATATACAGCAGGTATCAGCCCTTTACATTAGGGCTACTATATGAGCTAAGATTTCAATTCAACCAATCATCATTTTCTTGATCTTTTAATTGGGTTTTTAACAGTCTAAAAATTCCCTGTTCGAATTTGACAAAGAAAATAAAGGCTGAAATGATGCCCAGGACCCATCATCTGGCACAATGTCACCAGCCACAAAAGCGCCCCCATCATGTCATCCTAAAGCCAGATGGAAGGATGAGGGACAAACTCACTGGTTATCTGAACTTCGGACTATATACACATACTATCTATCATTTTGAACCTGGGCTAAAGGAGCCACACTTTGGCCACACATTCATTAACCCTTATCCAGTTTGCCTCAGTAAAATCCAACTAAAATGTTGGACAACATGATGGCAGAAATCTCTTTTGTGGAACATTGTGTGCACTTCATATTTGGCATAGCATGACTGGAAAGTATGGTGAGATGTTCCATAAGTTTTAACTGTGTGTCTCATAAAATAAATGAATGACAAGAGGGAAACACAGAAAAATGTTTGACTATTGCAGAAATCTCCAGAATTGAATGCCTGTCTGTGACTGGCTCTTCTAAATAGAGCCATGCACTGCTCTGAATCTCCTGCTTGGGTCATTCATAAAAATGCTGAAGATATGTCTAACTGTAATTTTAGTAATGGTTCATGGAAATAATGGAAGCCATTGTTGCCTTTTGAGGCTGGCTTTGGCTTAGTGTTCACTTTCCTCAAGGCATTTATTCATCTAGTGGATAGCTCCAAACACAGGATAGTTTGGCAGGAGGCCTGGGGCAGTCTCTATTGGTGGTGCTACAGGGAATTTGATCAATATTTCCTATTCATATAGTCGAATCTGAACCCTGGATACCACCAAGTCACTCAATTCTGCTGAGCTGATTTTGGGTTTCAGTTAAGTTGCTAACTTATGAATACTGACAATGAAGCACAATGCATGCATTGCTGAGCCTATTACAAGGGAAATATTTGCAAACCTTGATTTATTTCATCACTCCTGAAACTTTGGTTAAATTAACAATCAATTTTTTGAAGTAGCAGCTGCATTATTTCTTATAGGTCAATCTTGCTTTATTTAAGTCTTCTCTTTTTATATATAAATATATTTTGTTTATTAGTATGGCAATGGAATATCTCATGGAAGGCTTACCATGGAAATCCAAAATCATGATATCTTCAACCACCAGAAGTGATGGTAATAATAGAAAGTCAGTTGAGGACTTTTAACTTTGTTACTCACCTTATGATAGAGAAGAATCCGAGCAGAATCCACATGATCTCCTTGAGATGCCATATGCAAAGGTGCCAGCCCATTCTGTAAATAACGATAGGCAATACATGCAAGAAAAGAAATATCAGTCAAATGCTTTTGAAATGCTTAATAGCATTCTACAAAATTCATAAAGGCTGGAAAAAGGGCCCTGAAAATCTCAAGCTCACTTTGCTTTTGGCAGAGATAGGAGCACCTCTCTCAAGGAGAAGATCAACAACTGCATCATGTCCACTTCGGGCTGCACAATGCAGAGGCGTCAGGCCATCTCTGGTTTTTGCTTCAATATTTGCACCTTTCTCAATAAGCATGGTGACTAGGGTGATTTTCCCCCATTTTGCTGCCACATGCAAGGGGGTTATGTTGTGCTGCAAAAGACACAATACAGTATTGGTTCAGGTCATTGTACATCAGTCATTATCAAGGGTACTTCTGAGAGGTTGTTAGAGCAGGTGAAAGCAAACATAGGTGCAGAGCAGTTACCATTAAAAAAGCTTTGGAATAGATGGTTTCACCCTATCTATATTAATACCAGTACCAGTGCTGGCCTTGTGCACACCACACCGCTGCTATGCCTCCAGCAAGGGCTCACCACCAACCCATCCACACCATCATTCTTACACTGAACAAGCAACAACTCTCAAAGAGTAAATGTAAGGAAAAATTATTTGTCAAGTCACAAAAATGGATAACACAGCATCCCCCCAGATTTGATTCAAAGTTGGCTCATAGAATCTTTAAAAACAACCTTTTTGAGCAATGGCTCCAAAGTTACAAGGGGGTGAAGTTTTGGGCATACCATGACGTCCAAATTTCAAAGATCAACATGTTAAAAACTAAGGCTGTCAATTCGATTAGATTAATCGATAAAAGTATTAATCGCGATTTTAAAAATTTGTCGAAATTAATCGAATTTTAAGAGACCCCCCCCAATATCCCCCTGAATTCCTCTTTCTCCCCTTATAATTTGACTGTGAAGTTAATAGTTTTGCAAAACAACCGAAAACGAATGCTTTATCAAGGGAATGAAATGTAATGATGGCTTATAGAAGGTAGTCGTTTTCGCACTGCTCACTCTTCCTCAAAAATGACTTATTATTCTTTGGAAAAGAGAACACGCAAAAAAAAAGTTATCGCTTTCAGACTATTCCAAAAAAGAAGCTTCCTGATCCATTCGCATCCACAAGCTTACTGGTATGCACCCTGCATAGCCTTGCAGGCTTCGCGCGTCAGGCGAAGGTGCGTGGCAACGGTGGGCTAGAGCGACCGGAAAGTCACTGGATGCGAATGGGGAAAAGAAAGTCCCTAAGTGTGGAACCTTCTCCTATTCCTTGCTTTTTCTGCTCTGCTACCCTGTGTTGCCCATGAATTGATAATGAATCTCTAAATCTCCGCGTAATGAAGTGTCACTGTATGCATCTAATCATATAGGTTATATTTTTGCATCCTTCCGGCATGTGTTGGCTAAATGGCAAAGGGCCACAGTGTGCTTCTTTGCTGTCGTTTCATTATTCATCTGGCTACGTTGTAATTATTCTCTCTCCGATTGGAATGTGCCTCACGTAGGTTTTACTAGCGCATGAATGGATGGTAACTGCTATGTTAGCGACTGCATCACCTTGAGTCACTTCCTGAGGCGAGCCTCAGGAAGTAACTCAAGGCGTTGGACATGACACAAGCAGAATCATGCTCAACGCCTAGGGCATGATTCAAGGAGGAACAATGGAATCGATTAAAATTAGATTAATCGATTAAATGGGTCGCGATTAATCGATTAAATTTTTCAATCGATCGACAGCCCTATTAAAAGCCATTCAATATGTCGTACACATACTTGGTTCAGGTGCAATTTCTGAAAAAACCATGAGGGTTTTGAAATAAAAAAGGGTGGTCTAGGCAGGTCTGCATACAATAACTCCCTGTTGTAACCTTTGACCATCAACTTGATCATATTGGATGATACCATGTTGCCAAAAATATCAGATGAAAGGTAGATACGCCTGTAAATTGTGTATATTTCAGGATTTCAATATTTTTCCTTTCTCAACGACAAAATGGAACGAGTTTGGTAGCCGGAAAATTCCACTCCAATAGGTCTAAAAATAATTTTGGGGATGTAATTCTCCATTTACGGGTTAAATCTGATTTCTACTTAGTTTGATGAGTTTAGCCAGGTCTTGTCCAAATTCTACTACCCAAAAGTCTACATGTTTAAGGTTAAGCAGGGTTTCCCAGAAAGCAGGCAACCAGGTTGGGCCAATCAGTGAATAATGCTGCTTCGTAGAGACATTATTAGAAAAATCCTTGCAGTACCAGAAGCATGTTATATAGCATTCTTGACACTCACCTTGGCAGCAAAGTTGACATCAGCTCCTTTCTGAATGAGCAACTGAGCAATATGCTCATTGCCATAATGGGCTGCAATATGGAGGGGTGTGAACCCACTTTTGCTCGTCACATCAGGATTGTGGTCATTCTAGAAAGAGACCCACAAATATCTTCCTTTGGAGCCTTTTTTTTTTAACTCATGGTATACTTTTCACACCTAAACATTTGACTTAAGGGTGACGTAAGGTCAACTTTTATGGTGATTCTGGAGGACCAGAAACAAGTTAAAGATAAAACAATTCAGACCTGTAGAAGAAGAGCTGCTGCCTTGGTGTCATCTTTCTTGGCTGCAATGTGAAGGGCTGGGAGTCTGACTTTCCCTTTGGTGTCATTCTCCAAGAGAACAGCCACTACTTTATCATGTCCTTGTTGCAAGGCCACAGCCAATGGCGTGAAACCATCCTGTTGGCGGATAATAAAAAATGTATGTGTATGTGGACCTAGATGATAGTAATCAAGGTACCAACTACACTGTAGAACATGTATTCTAAGGTCTAGGCCTAGATCAACTACTTCCACTCATACAAATATCAAATTATCAGCAACAGGCCCATGCCACATTTCCTTTGAAGAAAGAGACTATCCTAGGCCTATCTAAAAAGGTTAATGAGCTTTAGCTAGCCTACAACACATCAAGTTGCTTTTAAATTGGAACTTAAGACTTTTATATTGGTTATACTTTGAATAGGCATTGCCAGATAAATGACAAACACTTTCCCTTTCCTGAATACTATAACTTGGCTCTCCACTATTCCTTCTTTGTGTTCATACTGGGCATATTTAGGAGATACTCCTCACATGTGCCATCTATGTATTGTGCTTACATGCATCTCCTTTACACTTCATATGTTTTCACGTGAATTAATTTCTTAGCATATGGAGCACAACCATAAAAAACCGCCAAAGCATAGAAATGCTGCAACAAATCTATTATTACCATAAGCTATACGCACTATCAGAAACCAACATCATATCTGCATAACTATTGGAGAATTCAGTCTGTGCATAAAATAAGAAATTATTGAACCAATACTTATTTGACATCTGAATCTCTTGGACTTCCAGTAAAACTCAATAGCTATTGAATATAGCCATTTTAGGCAAGGTTGTCACTGTATCGTCATAGCAGTAACTTTATGATGCAACTAAGTAAATTAAGAGAGAGAGAAGGAAAGTACTATTTTTTAAATTGAATTTGTAGCAACCCCCTCCCCCCGGCGCTCTTCCATCGATTGTTGGGAGTGGTATCTTGCACATGGGTGATTTCGCGCATCATGTTATGAAGCGTCTTTTCTCAGCTCTCCCCATGAAGAGAGGGTACGAATTCAATCCGAAAACAGAGTATAAATCACCATAAAACTCCTGGGTATTTTGTGTTCCCACTGTTTTGAATTAAGTTAAGCATGTAGTTTGTTTTTTTCCTTCAGCTGTTTTCATATTTTCTTTTTCTTCTTCGCAAATTTTCCTTCTTTTCTTGCATTTAACCCAAAGCATATCACTTATGCTTTGCCTATTGAAGGGAAAATATGGGACATTGAAATGAACATAAATAGACCTAAACTTGTGAAACTTCAAACATGAGCTCTACCCTATCCCTATGTAGGCTTCTGGCCAACATCGCTCAAAGGGACTTCTATTCTTGCTCTACTTAGAACAGGCTCCTAAAAATGTATGACAAGAAGCCGACGTAAAGTCGCTGTACAAGGTTAGTCCTACCTATGCCAATAATAAGCGCACCTCAGTTCCTAGGCTTTGGTTGGCTCCATTGGCGAGAAGGAATCGAACGACACCGTCGTGATTTTCTTGAGCAGCCATGTAGAGAGGGGTAAAGCCATTCTGACTCTGAAGATTTACCGATGCTCCGTGCTGCACCAACAACGTCACCACCTCCTCCTGGCCCGCTGTAAATTCCAAGCATCATGTCATGGAAATGCAAGTGTCCTCAACATATTGCTCTCAGGGACCTTCAGACAAAGTCTATCACACGCACACTCTCTCATCTCTCCAATCTGCCGTGTCCAGATTAGGCTACGTTTTTATTTTTTCGGAATCCTGACTGAGTGGCATATGGCAGCGCTCGTGCAGCTACTCCTACTCCGTAGATGAAAACCATTGCCATGCTTTCCGCGATTGTGTGCTATCTTGAATAGGTACAACCCAAAAAAAATACAAAATTTTATTTTATTCTAAGTCATGCCCTTATAATTGTGAACCCGCAAGGCTGATAGAAGAGGGGAGTCACAATGAGCTTAGAGAATGAGGATGCGGTGGGACTGTCTGGGATCCATTCCGTACTAAATTTGTTCCCACAACGAATGGCAAGTCTTGGCAACAGATGGATTTTGCCAAGCTAGAAGGAAAAAAAATACAAACGGAAATGTCTGTTTCTGTGGTTCGAGGTTCACGGATCATTGGTTGGGGGGGGGGGGTGAAGAAAGAAAGGGAAAACCTTTGATAAATGGTTTTCACATCACTTCATTTCACCTGTATTTAACCCTTTAATGGATGACTTTTTCTTTTTCGCCGAAAAGAAATCTGGCAGGTTTCACTCACGTCCTAAAACACGGATCAAGTGGACAAAAATATTTTTCAATCAAATTTGTAAGCAGTAGGCCTGAAAATATTATTGTTGCTCATTTGCTACTAACAGCATTTTCAGCTTTCTAACTCATGCTGCATGGATGCTAGAGAGCTCAGTCGGTCTGTCAAAGTTCATTCATACCTCAACACAAAAGAAAATGTAAAAATACGGATGAGCCTGGACCCTGGATTTATAAGAAAATTAAATTTTAAAAAGTCAAAAACGTCAATCTGCCTTACGACGAAGCCAGATTGGTTTTAATTTGATGGCCACCAGGAGTGTATGGCACCTAGCGACCGCATAGTTGCAAGGTATAAGGACCGGACTGTTGCGCATTTGCTACGAGCAGATTTACCTCAGGAGCTCGCTATCTGCGCATTCTAAAAATGTTTATTTGGTACGTAGCATATCTGCTACGTCATGCATTAAAGGGTTAAAACTATGAAATGTTCTATCTACTCTCTCCAAAAAATGAGTGGGTCTCCCACCCATGTCCTACTCCCGTACCTACCCTGCAAACAATTTCAAATAAATAACGTTGAATCAATGATGAATCAACATTGAATAAACGTTCGGAACGTTGATACAACGTTGGTCCAACGTAGCCTTGTTTGCTAGGTACTGCCAGTAAAGGGCGGCAGCCTTGTCTATTTCCTACTATGCCTGCGAGTTGTGAGAAAGGTCCTCGTTGGGGAAATATTGGACGCTACGTTAATGAGAGAAGTGAACCTGAAGGTGTTTCCAATCCAACCTACTAGATTTCCTACTAGACGTCAAGCTTGACGGTAGTCCGTTCTCCGAGCAGAATATTACTTCTTTTTTTTTACATTCCTGGGGGCCTCGTGAGAGAAGGCAAGTTAGAATCTTTTTGACGGTAAGTAAAATAAGAATATTGCAGATGTGACGAGACGGAAGACTGGGGGCAAGGACTAAGCCAGAGTGACTCGAGACCCTTAAGCCTCCCCGTTGCGTACGCCGCTTAGGTCAAAGGACTGGATAAAAAAAAAATAAGAGCCCCCTACCACTTCCCTTCGCATTTTAACTTATCATCTTACAGAAAAGCTATGGAATATGCACTTTTTTAGGAATAGAAAAGCTCATGATCTCTTCAGGCGATCTGGCGGTATCATATTTTGGTTTAAATATGTTTATTCGGCACATATATGTAACGATCACAATGTTACCATATTTCAAACTTCTGCGGGAGTTTCTGTGCTAGTAATTGGGATCCTTACATCTTGCTGTTCCACCACGTACAATGTTTTTTTTTCCTTTAATCATTGCACAAATTTGAGATAATAACGATAAAAAGCATCCTGAGGTTGACCAAAGTCTCTCTTCCCCTCTAGTGACACGACCTGTGCTCCAATAACTAACATCAATCTATCCTCCCCTCCCTCCCCTCCTGCCCCTTGAACGTCATGGGAGATTTGATCGTAAGGAAGGAGTGGGCTCACCGAGTGCAGCAATGTGTAGAGCAGTGTTGCCCTTCTTTGTACTGGCGTTCACTTCCGCTCCTCGTCGAAGAAGTTCCGTCACGACGTTCACGTGCCCTTCTTTTGCTGCCAAGTGTAACGCGTTCAACCCATTCTGCAAATAATAAAGAAAAACCTTTACAATCGGCTGACGGGAATTTAGCAAAATTCCGAACTTTTTAAAGCGAATCTTATATGATGGCTAGTATAACAGAACTGATTCTGCAAGCAAAGCTTCCGTAACGGTTGCTAATAACCGAAAAAGGTGAGGTTCTTCGAAACCACACCACATGGAGAGAGTCAGGAGTGAAAAGTGAATGAAATGCGGACAATGCGAAAATGCATTTTCACCTCTTGTGTTCAACACAGATCGAATATACGAAGCTTTGAAGTAATTTCGATTGATTTTCTCTTCTAGGTCAGTCCCTAAAGAAACACGTTTTTTCACTTACAAATTTCCTTTAGAAATAAACAAAAAAAAGGAATCCCTTGACTCCAGAAGCCATGCAGTCATGACTGAGCAGCGGCTTAGGTTCTGCCACTCGTGCCTGCCGGATCTTCTGCAGCTGCCAAAAGATGGCATAATCTCAGAAATTTAGGGACCCGATATCAGAAGTTTAGTACTTGGAATTACAGATGGAACTGCAACACCAAATGGTTCAGATAATTTTTTTTTTTACTTAAATGATAATCAATAGCAAAATTAGTGTCGGTAACTTGAACATGGCAGCGGGTATGACATGCACTGAAACTTAAGAATTTTTCCCGAGGAGTACCAAACCGGATCGAACTAAAACAAAAAATAATCACTCTTGGCTTGGATTCAGACAGTGGTGATGATGGCAGATATACTCGAGATTAAAACATTTCAAGGAGTTTCCTGTGAAGGTGCAGCAGTCAGTCGTACAGACAGAAAAAGTCGTACTTGAAATGCTTCATTGAGTCCAAAATTAACCATTCTTAGACCACGAATTCTCTAATCCCTGCGAATATGGCCAGAAGAAATAGATCCGGGTCGTGTATATGGACGAAGCACGTGACTGAATGCGAAAATTCTCTCCGACAACGGCGTCTATATAAAGGCATCTATTTATAGACACAGAGAACAAGACAGATTTGCAGAGCGTGCCGCGTGCCCTGAATATATGAGGCAACAGTGGAAGCAAAAGGTGTCCTGAATATATGAGGCAACACGGGAAGCAAAAGGTGACGGCTGTTCAGCCTCCTCCTCCTCCTCGTCAACTTAACCCTATTGGAGTGAAGAAGCTAGCTTTCTATTCGTAAGTGTTTTGCGCTTGCGTTCCAACCGTTTTCCCCACGAGTCCAACAGGTATTAAGTTGATTCTAGAATTATATAATCTAGGGAGGCGGTGAGTTTCAGCCTGCATTGGAATGTCAGAGTTAAGATAAAAGAAACGTCAAAATCAATTGAAGATGCATCAAACTCGTCCGTTTGAGCCCAGGAAGGAAATATCAACCGAAGACTTTCATGCATGCATATATGGTAATTTTCAATAGTCTTGATAAGTACTTTAAATAATATTCTAATACTTGAAAGTTCTAGATTTATTAATGACCGTATAGAGGATGAACAATTTAATTAATGTTATAATTAAATTAAAAGCAATATTTCTAAGGACACAATGCTCAAACAATTCGTTTGAAACACCTCCATTATCTCCAAAGTACATCTGGAACTTGAAATAGAATAAGAACACTGCCCTGCCCGCTCTATTATGTTGCATGGTGTGGAAGATTGCAACAATGTAACGCAGCATTAAATATAATTATTCGTTGCCGCTTTCAACACCTTGCAGCAAAATGAGGCAGACAGGGCAGAGGGCTATTTCACGTTCAAGTTCCAGATATGCTTCAGAGATTAAAAGTCAACTCCGAATTTGAAGAGCAAGCCTGTGTGATTGTCAATATTTTCACTGCTACATGACCTAAAGCCGTAAATTTTCAAAATGGTCTGAATACCTTCGAATCTAATTTAATGTCCTTTCCAATTGAAATTCGACGGTTAAAAGATGCTGTAGAAAACAGATATTACAATGGATTGGAAAACATTCGTGCTAAGTCTTCTCTACACCCAAATCGGCGAGATGGTGAAGTGCATGATCCAACACTGAAGGAATGATAAGGGCAGATAAAGTGCCATGTGAAAACGCCCCACAGACGCAATCATATGCTGCGAAGGTGCCATGCGACATTCTGGACATCGATTTCTATGCGTACTGGGTAAAAAAAAAAGAAAATAGTGTGCTACTTAGTTATAGCCGTTGAAATGGATTGAGAATGGGCAAGGTTAGTTCCGATTCCCCAAGAAAGTGGAGAGGCATACTCGGAGGCTCTTGGATTGGGGCTATGTCTCAACGCCAAGGTTCATATCACCTAGCCTATCATTGCAAAAGCCATGATGTTAGACCAAAATGGCATAGAGGCCTACACGAAGAAGGTTAAGGACATACAAGCCATGTAGGCCTTCCATTTATTTGGCCACATGTATGAAAGGGTAACGGAATTCAACATGTCTATAAAACGGCAGAAGGCCAGTATGGCCCTGTTTTCCAGTCTTCGTCCATCTCTACACTCTTAGAAAAGTGAGCGATAGCCAAGAAAGGGAGCGAAACTGGAGTTAGAGGTTTTACTCCCTAAAAACGAGGAAGTGCAATACATAACTACTCCTTTATAAGAGCAAATTCCATATCTTTTTTAAGAGCGCGAAACGAATGAGGGAGAGTACTTTTCAAACTAGTAGAAAAAGTTTGTTGTTCTCAGGAAAGAGAGAGGTGAGCGGCTGCATTTCCTTGTTTTTAGGGAGTAAAACCGATAACTCCAGTTTCGCTCCCTTTCTCGGAAATCGCTAACTCTTTTCTAAGAGTGTAGTGCAACCACCGGTCTCACCATTTTACGAGACAGAACCGCAGGAAATCCTACGGGGCTGTTTCCAGGACGAAAAGTAGGCGGTCACTCCATTCATCTCTGATGCTTTCACATTTATCTACCTTGAGGGCTGGCACCTCTGGGACTTGAGACAAATCTATCCTTCTTTCTCGTCCACTTTTCTCTCCAGAAGTTTAATCACACGAGATGGTGAAGAGGCATACTCACGATTTTGAGACTTTGTGGAAAAGCGTACTCTACAACCTGGTAACTTCTCTCTCCTTTATTCTCCTACTTTCTCATTTGCTTCTCTAATTCCATCGAACGTCACCAACGAAAATATCGACTATCCGTTAGAGATCTATAAACTCGGATCACAGCGACATTGCGAAGAGATCACGGGTGAGGCATACTCACCGTTCTGGGATTTCATGTCGTGATAATTTGGGGTGAGGGATTCACTCTGCGAGGTGTAGCTTGAAGCTGACGAACATTCAGCAATAAATAAATTTGTCTAAATAAAGCGAATGGCTTTTCCGGCTGTCAAAATAATTCCGTAAAACCTGCTATATGATCCGAGATGAAGTAAATAACTCTTTCGAAGGAACCACATAGGCTCACATCCCTCTGTTGCTATTGGCACATCCAGCTCGCCATCCGTGCAATGAGTGAACCAAAACGAAAGGTGACGATTTCCTTATAGGGAAATTTACTTAAAGTCTTATAATTTAGTTCTTGCAATCAGTTGCGCAAAAAAAAAACAGTGATTACACAAACAAATATTGTCTAGACCTACACTCTTAGAAAAGAGTGAGCGATTTCCGAGAAAGGGAGCGAAACTGGAGTTAGCGGTTTTACTCCCTAAAAACAAGGAAGTAATGCCGCTTACCTCTCTCTTTCCTGAAAATATCCACTAACTTTTTCCACTAGTTTTGAAAAGTACTCTCCCTCATTCGTTTCGTACTCTTAAAAAATATATTGAATTTGCTCTTTTAAAGGAGTAGTTATCGATTGCACTTCCTCGTTTTTAGGGAGTAAAACTGCCAACTCCAGTTTCGCTCCCTTTCTCGGATATCGCTCACTTTCTCCTAAGAGTGTACGTTCCCTACGTGCAGAAACCCACTGAATTTCACAGGCAGAACATGTGGGCTTCTATTATTTCTGATGAAACAATAAGCATGTGATGTAAGCAAAATTAGTTCTTGCAAAGGGTATTCCCTGAACCTTTGATATCTAGACTTCGTGGAGGCCTCAATCAAGAACAGGGCCAGGAACGAGCCTATTGGAATTCGCCTTAGACAGCAGAAACGTCAAATAAACGCTGGATGAGCTATAAAAAGCTATTGAAACTTCCTGACCATTAGTCGAGTTTCTTCAGAATAATTTCGTCTTGCTGGATGAAGTGGTCCACACGTTGAACGTTCATGGGATAAATAGTTAAATTAGGCATGCCTGAACGGTGGCCATTGTTAAGGCTCTCTTCTCTCTCTTGGGACGTCCTCAATCCACTTGCAGACTCTACCTTTCTTGCGAGTATCGTCATCATTGACAGTCTTAAATTTCTCAATAATACTGGATGGCTTTACATCCTCCAGAAGGAATTCCCCGTCTGCCTGTTACTTAACTGTTAACTGCAAGCTTACCCATCCCACACAGCACAGTGATATCCCAGTGACGTCCCTAACTGGACGACTTGTCCCCTCCCACACAGCACAGGTATATCCCAAAGATATCCCAGAGATATCCCCTTGAGACAAGTGCGATGTCCCAGAGACAAGGAGTAGGGACATCTTAGGGACATCAAAATATCTGGGCCCAATGACATCCCAAGGATGTCCCTTTCTTGAAGAAATAGCACATCCCAGAGATGTCCCAGGGATATCCCCTTGGGGCAAGTCCCAGACATTACTTGTGGGGACATCTCAGGGATGTCACAATGTCTGGAGGTAAAGACATCCCAAGGATGTCTCTTTCTTGCAGCACAAGTATATCCAAAGGATGTCCCAGAGATATCCCCCTGGGACAAGTGAGAAGTTCCAGGTAGTACTTGTAGGGGCCTTCCTATCCGCAATGGACTCATTTCCTATCGCACAGGAGAACCCTTTGCTTTCATAGATGTCTCTATTTTATCTAGGAACACCTAATCTAAAGTTCTTCATCGATTGAAGAGTGACGATTAAAGGGGAGGAAAATACCGTTCCTAAAGGGGGCCCCATCATAAGAGACACATCTCCAAGGGACGAAAATTAGCATTTTTACACGAGTGGTCATGGATGATATGATGTAGTCTCATGCCTCTCGAACAGAATGAGCTCAGGCCTCCAACTAATATAGTTGTATCCAGACATGCCGATCAGACATTATTGATGAGAATATAAAGGAATAAATTTAAATTCGGACCGCAATTTTTTCACTTTCCCTGGTGGCAGTTTTCCTTATGTACGAGGACTTTCCTTATGTACGTTCGACTGAAGATATCTTCAAAATATCCCCTCCAGGATATCCAGAAGCATTCGACTAAGGATGTGTTAAAGATATCCCGAAAGGGATATCTCTAAGATATCGACTGAAGATGTC